GTGGGTGGTCAGTGAAAGAACAGTGGGTGCTTTGTGAATGAACAGTGGGTGATCCGTGGGGGACCAATGGGTGATCAACATGTGAACAGTGAATGAACAATGGGTGATGAATGAATGATTAATGGAAAACCAGTGGGTGATCCACAGGTGAACAGTGGATGATCAATGGTGATCAGTGTGTCCCCAGTGAATGAATGAATGAATGATGAATGGGAGACCAATAACTGGTCAATGGGTTGCTGTGCTCTCACAGGTGGTCTGCAGACTCTGCAGGGAGCTCAGGATTCAGCCAGACTCCTCAGCTGGACACTGGGACTGCTGGGACTTGTAGTTCCATATTGGCTGTGTGCTTCTACCTGGACACTGAGTGACACAGAGATGATCTCATTATTCCGCTTTTTTTTCATTCTTTCTACATTTTCACTGATATAACGGAGTTAACAGAAACAAAATTGGGAAAAAGTAAAACAAAAAACAACCCCCCCCCCGATGTTGTCACCCCGAATCGGCCCCCAATCATAGAAAAGTGTTATATGGCACAAAGCATTCACCGCACAATGACTGACCACCATGGACAGTGTGACTCCGGTGGTCGGCGGTGAAGGAACGCACACAGTGTTCTGGTACACAACGGATGACATCTTCCTCCCTACACACATGTACACATGTACGGGGTCCGGCCCGGAAGGTTGAACGATTCCCACGTGTAACACACCCATAATCAGCCCTTGAGAAAACATTCAAGTATTTAATTAAATATCCAACATGGTGACGCAGGTTTGGCTCCGAAGCGTTCGCAGGACCGCAGCCAGGAAGAAGATTTCTCGACCGTAAAGTCAAAGCCACCAGAATACGGAGGATAAAGGAAGGCAAAATATAAGCAGGATAGACCTCCGTTTTATTACAGCAGAGACCATAGACATTACATTTGTACGTTGCGGTAACTCATGGCAACCAACGTACAGTCTTAAAGGCTGTCTGATTGGCTGATAGAAGTTACTGAATCGGGCAAAAAAGCAAACCCAACTTGTCATGCTAAACCCATTCCACTCCAATACACAATATGGCCAAGACTGTGGACACCTATCACACCTATATGAACATTAATATGGAGTTGTCGCCCCATGGCCATTAATATGGAGTTGTCCCCCATGGCCATTAATATGGAGTTGCCTTCAGAGGGGGAGGGCTTCATGACCATTTTATAGAGTTGTCCCCCATGGCCATTAATATGGAGTTGCCTTCAGAGGGGGAGGGCTTCATGACCATTTTATAGAGTTGTCCCCCATGGCCATTAATATGGAGTTGCCTTCAGAGGGGGAGGGCTTCATGACCATTTTAGAGTTGCCCAAACCACGATTATTAATGTGGCGTTGCCCTCCTTTACAGCTATCTACTCTTCTGGGCCCCATGTTAGGTGGGAGATAAAAGACCTGGCTCCGGATTGGCATTCCATACCAAAGGTGTTCAAGTGGAGTTGAGGTTAGGGCTCTGTGTAGGACACTAGAGTTCCTCCACACCAAACTGGTCAACCCATGTCTTTATGGAGTTCGCCAAAAACTGGTCAACCCATGTCTTTATGGAGTTCGTCAAAAACTGGTCAACCCATGTCTTTATGGATTTAGTGCAAACTGGCCAACCCGTGTCTTTTTGGAACTGTTACAGATTGGTCAACCCATGTCTTTATGGATCAGATCAATACAGGTCAACCCATGTCTTTCCGGAACTGTTGAAAACTGGTCAAAAAATGTCTTTAAAGATCTAGTACAAACTGGTCAAGCCATGTCTTTATGAAGTTGGTCCAAACTGGTTAACCAATGTCTATGGATCTAGTCCAAACTGGTCAACCCATTTCTTTATGGATCTCATAGAAAACTGGTCAAACCTTGTCTTTATGGATCTGGTTCAAACTGTTCAACCCATGTCTTTATGGATCTGATCGAAATTAGTCAAACCTCTTTATGGATCTGGTTCAGACTGGTGAAACCTTTTCTTTATGAAGCTGTTCTAAACTGGTCAGCCCATGTCTTTATGGAGCTGGTCCACACTGGTCAACTAAAATCTTTATGGAGCAGGTTCAAAATGGTCAAACGTTGTCTTTATGGAGCTGTTCCAGACTGGTCAACCCATGTCTTTATGGAGCTGGTCCAAACTGGTTATCTCAAGTTTTTATGAAGCTGTGTCAAATTGGTCAACCCAAGTCTTTATGGAGCTGGTCCAAACTGTTTAACCCTTGTCTTTCAAAAACTTATAAATAATTCCTCCAGGTCCAAGTAAAGAATTAAATAATTATACATGTAACATTTCAAAAGAGGGGGAATCTCCGGAAAAATATGCATTTACAAAACTCTTGATTAGACTCAACCTCCTCTATAAGCAAGTGAAACCTATTATTTATGAGGACCCCAAATAGTAGAACTCCACCCAACATTACAAAACCATGATATTCCGGAGCTGGTCCAAACTGGTCAACCCATATCTTTATGGAACTAGTCTAAATTGGTCAACCCATGTCTTTATGGTGCTGGTCCAAACTGGTCAACCCGTATCTTTTTGGAGCTGGTCCAAACTGGTCCACCCACATCTTTTTGGAGCTAGTCTAAATTGGTCAACCCGTGTCTTTATGGTGCTGGTCCAAACTGGTCAACCAATGTCTTTATGGTGCTGGTCCAAACTGGTCAACCAATGTCTTTATGGAGCTGGTCTAAAATGGTCAAAACATATCTTTCCGAAGCTGGTTCACACTGGTCAACCCATATCTTTTTGGAGATGGTCCAAACTGGTCAACCCATATCTTTTTGGAGATGGTCCAAACTGGTCAACCCAGGTCTTTAGTGAGCTAATTCAAACTGGTCAACCCATGTATTTTTGGAGCTAATCTAAATTGGTCAACAAATGTCTTCATGGAACTGGCTTTGTACACAGGGGCCAGTCATGGTAAAACAGAAAAGGGTCTTCACCAAACTGTTACCACAAGGTTGGAAGATCACAGTTGTCTACAATGTCTTTGTATGATGGAATATTACCATTACCCTTCACTGAAGACACCTGAAGGCCATCATTTAGAGGGGTCTACTGTATATACTATTGCCCATATACTACATTGGAATATGTACTGTATGGGAATTGTAGAGTGGGGGGAGTGTTAAAAACTCAATAACGCACTTCTGGGTCATGTGAGCAGGGGACACAATGGCTATTGGTGACAGTTCTCATCCCACAATGCACAGCTGCAATAGGTCATGTGACCCAACATGGCAGCTTTGGGACCAGGAGCCATCTAGTGGCAGAACCTGCTCTTCCCAGGTTTTAAATTCCTCTCCCCAGCTCCTCTCTTCTTCCCAATGACTCTAATTAAAGCAGGCCTCTATAGTCGAGATATGGGCAACGTAAAAAGTGACATGAAAGTACAACTCCAAAACTGGGATAAGAAAACACCAAAACTACACCTCAACATAACAAACGTCCCAATACACTTCACGGTGGAGTTCCTTCATGCTTATTGGCTGCCGAACCCCAGTCCATGCCGTCCGCTGTGCAACCAACGTAATAACGTGAAAAAAATGGACGTTGGAGCTTTGAAGGCTAATATTGTTGGGGGGGGGGGGGGGTGAAGAAATTTTTTGTAAAATTTTAATTATTGCTCTTTTCATTTTCAAATACATTCTGTAGGCATCTGAAGTACGCAGAACGAGGCCTCTGCGCACAGGTGAAAGAGGCTCCTCCCACTCTCCGAACGTCATCAAGATGAAAGCAGAACACACAATGAGCGTTGATGAGTCAGCGGAGGACGGACGAGCCAAGCGACCTTCTACACAAGTCAAAGGACTCAGCCGACCGATCCGTTCCACCCCGGACCAGAGCTATGTTCTGATTGGATGAAGGCATAATTACCCAGAATGCTTTTAAGACTCAGGCAGAACCTCAGCTACCACGTTTCCTACCAATACATCATTGGACTATTCTGCACGAATACACGGGACTAAGACACCGACTCGTTCTCCTGCACAAATGGTTCTACCGACACGACTTTTCCAACACTTTACGAGACGACGCATAAGATTTTGTTGTTTGTTACACCACAGATAAAAATTTGGCTTGTGCCACCCCCCCCCCCCCCCCCACCTTCCCTGTGAGCCAGGATCCCAATTTATATTTTGGTTTTTTTTTTTCAAATAATCGTTTCTACAAAAATATAAATTTTTACCTGACCGGTAAAAATTATTCAATGGTACCGTGAAAACAAAATAAAAAAAGAAAGAAAAAAAAAAAAAAAATAAAAGCAATAATATTGATTACATGTGTACAATAGGTACAAACTTAATACAACAGAATTATTTACAACCCAACCCAAGAAAAATGAGTCTGTGGCCCCCCCGACTCCTCCCGTGGTGATGGTGGCAGGCACAGACAGCGACGTGCGGGAGGCGGGACGAGTCTTTACAGCACGTTTGTTCTGATAAAACGCAGAATTTTCCCACGACGCCCAGTTTGGTTCCCCCGACCATTCATGTAAAGGTCTGCATTTCTAGAGACTACTGCATCCACGAGACGTACACAGCCATGGCGACATTGTTCACGCCGTGCGCACAATCCTGGTGAGAACATGGCGGCGGTCATGCGTTGTGAAGATTAGTAAGCGGTAAGTGAGCGCTGCTGAGGAGTGGAGGGAATCCTTGTTCTAGTCATTTTCCGGTATATATATAAAATCTCTCCGGAGATGGACCGGCCAATGAAAATGCAGCAGAATCTACAGCGTTACAGTGAGCCCTCCGCAGCGGAGGTGACCTGGACAAGGAGGCGTATTCGGTGCAGAGATCCGGCAAGCCGGTGACGTACCCTGATATTTATAATGAACACAGAATGGAGAGCACAGGATGAACCTCACGCCATGTGAATTCCACAAGAGACATGTACAGGATATTCAAGTAATGTAGGAACTCCACGCTCCGAGAGACCACGGCATGGAATTCCCAGGATTCAGCGGGACACAGTTACCCCTATAAGTCTGTCGACGTTCGCTTTTTCATGCTACGCCGCTGAGCTAGATTGGAGGCCGCCACGGGCTCGAGTATTGGCTGAAATGTCTTGTGGTTCAGTGCCGAGTATGTAGCAGCCATCGCACCCTGGAGAGAAAAAATGGAAATGAAAGACAGAAGACGAAGAGAGGAAAAACTGAAGGAGAGAGAGAGGGAGGGGGGAGAGAGAGAGGGAGGGGAGGGGGGAGAGAGAGAGAGAGGGAGGGGGGGGGAGAGAGAGAGGGAGGGGGGAGAGAGTGGACGGGGGGGGAGGGGGGGCGAGGGCGGGGGGGGGGGGGGGGGGTGAAGGCGGGGGGGAGAGAGGGCGGGGGGGGAGAGAGAGAGCGGGGGAGAGGGCAGGGGGGAGAGAGAGGGCAGGGGGAGGGCGCGCGGGGGGGGGGGGGAAGAAGGCGAAGGGGGAGAGAGAGGGGGGGGGGCGAGGGGGAGAGAGAGGGGGGGGGGCGAGGGGGAGAGAGAGGGGGGGAGAGGGCGAGGGGGGGAGAGAGAGGGGGGGAGAGGGCGGGAGGGAGAGGGCGCGGGGGGAGGGTGGGGGGGGGGAGGCAGGAGCCATCATGGAACAGAGGAGAGGCAGGAGACATCATGGAACAGAGGAGAGGCAGGAGACATCATGGAACAGAGGAGAGGCAGGAGGACATCATGGAACAGAGGAGAGGCAGGAGACATCATGGAACAGAGGAGAGGCAGGAGACATCATGGAACAGAGGAGAGGCAGGAGACATCATGGAACAGAGGAGAGGCAGGAGACATCATGGAACAGAGGAGAGGCAGGAGACATCATGGAACAGAGGAGAGGCAGGAGAGAGGCATCATGGAACAGAGGAGAGGCAGGAGACATCATGGAACAGAGGAGAGGCAGGAGACATCATGGAACAGAGAGAGGCAGGAGACATCATGGAACAGAGGAGAGGCAGGAGACATCACGGAACAGAGGAGAGGCAGGAGACATCACGGAACAGAGGAGAGGCAGGAGACATCACGGCAGAGGAGAGGCAGGAGACATCACGGAACAGAGGAGAGGCAGGAGACATCACGGAACAGAGGAGAGGCAGGAGACATCACGGAACAGAGGAGAGGCAGGAGACATCAGGAGACAGGAGACATCACGGAACAGAGGAGAGGCAGGAGACATCATCATGGAACAGAGGAGAGGCAGGAACAGGCAGGAGAGACATCATGGAACAGAGGAGAGGCAGGAGACATCATGGAAACAGAGGAGAGGCAGGAGACATCATGGAACAGAGGAGAGGCAGGAGACATCATGGAACAGAGGAGAGGCAGGAGACATCATGGAACAGAGGAGAGGCAGGAGACATCATGGAAGAGGCAGGAGAGGAGAGGCATCATGGAACAGAGGAGAGGCAGGAGACATCATGGAACAGAGGAGAGGCAGGAGACATCATGGAACAGAGGAGAGGCAGGAGACATCATGGAACAGAGGAGGAGGGCAGGAGACATCATGGAACAGAGGAGAGGCAGGAGACATCATGGAACAGAGGAGAGGCAGGAGACATCATGGAACAGAGGAGAGGCAGGAGACATCATGGAACAGAGGAGAGGCAGAGCAGAGGCAGGAGACATCATGGAACAGAGGAGAGGAGACATCATGAACAGAGGAGAGGCAGGAGACATCATGGAACAGGGGAGAGGCAGGAGACATCATGGAACAGAGGAGAGGCAGGAGACATCATGGAACAGAGGGAGAGGCAGGAGACATCATGGAACAGAGGACAGGCAGGAGACATCATGGAACAGAGGAGAGGCAGGAGACATCACGGAACATCACGGAACAGAGGAGAGGCAGGAGACATCACGGAACAGAGGAGAGGCAGGAGACATCACGGAACAGAGGAGAGGCAGGAGACATCACGGAACAGAGGAGAGGCAGGAGACATCACGGAACAGAGGAGAGGCAGGAGACATCACGGAACAGAGGAGAGGCAGGAGATATTGGTGACACACTAACTTGTACAAAAGATAAAAATTCCTAAAGTGAACCATCAGCGAAAGTCTTTTTTTTTTGTTCGTTGTGGATGGAGAGCAGAAAATGTAGAACCTCGGCTATGTTATATATAGTCTGTGTCCCTTTTTTGGGGTCCCCTCACCTCCTGTCCTGGACATCGCACAGCAATGGGGATGAAGTTCCCCCATTGGGGACACAGACGGAGCTTCTAACATTGTCCCACTCCATCCAAAACTAGAAAACCAAAAATAGAACAAAGCTGCAGCAAAGCGCCCCGCGCTCGCTCCGTGTGACCCGCTGCAGCATGATACTCTCTATGATGGGATGAATGTATCTTCTCCCAGGATTCACAGCAATGAGCGCCGGCCGTTACCTTGACCAGGTGAGGTGCATCGTGCCGGTTGAGCTGGTATAGAGGGAGCTGGTCTCTGCAAGCTATCCAGGAATGCTTTAATACCTTCTCTGCCGTGTATCGCTGATGAGGATCAACATGGAGCATGTGAGAGAGCACATCCTGCAATCATCAGGAGGGAGAAATAAAGACATGTCTACAGCATGACCGCTTTATCACTGATATCTTATTCACACAGCAGCATCATCATATTCCACCGAGCAATAAAGGAGGATTCACACAGGTACACCCATCAGGGACCTACTTGTTTGGGAGAATATGAAAGAACACATCCTCAGCATCCCTTTAGATGTGTATGGCCACTGGGTGCCACTACTGCCTACTGGGTGTTCAAAGTTTACCTGCCCAGTTTTCTGATCAGTTTCTTGATTACAGTCCATTACAATATAATCATGTAATTGATCAGCAGATTGCACAACTAGCGTCTGTAGCAACCAGGGGCAATCAGGGAGGAGCATGCACATCTAAAAGGTTGCCTGGGATGTGTTCTTTTATATAAATCTCCCGAAACAAGATCCAAAAGAAGGTTGCTGTGTCATTTACTGGAGACATCCAGCCTCTCACACTAAACTCGACCTTACTGTGAGGCAAAGACCATCAGATGGGACCTAGTGATGACATATCACTTGGATACAAAATGGTTTCATTAAACATTTTAAATACATGTACATCCAGTGGGGGGGTTATACAATATCTTCCAGAATTGAGTCCCCCCCCCCCGGTACTCCCCCGGACTGTATACAATATATATATATATATATATATATCTATCTCCTAGAAGTGAGTCCCCCCTCCCCCGGACTGTATACAATATACAGGTGAAATTCACAAAATGAGAATCTGGTGCAAACATTCATTGATTTCAGTGCAGCAACTTAAAAGGTGAAACTAATATATGAGACTCATTCCATGCAAAGCAAGATAGTTCCAGCCGTGATTTGTCATCATTGTGATGATTATGGCTTACAGCTCATGAAAACCCCAAATCCACAATCTCAGAAAATGAGAATATTCCATGCAATCAATAAAACACGGATTGTACATAGAACAATATCGCACCTCTGAGAAGTAGAAGCTGCATATGTACTCAGTACTTGGTTGGGGCCCCTTTTGCAGCAATTACTGCCTCAATGCGGCGTGGGCATGGAAGCTATCAGCCTGTGGCACTGCTGAGGTGTTATGGAAGACCAGGATGCTTCAATAGCGGCCTTCAGCTCTTCTGCATTGTTCGCTCTCATGTCTCTCATCTTTCTCTTTGGCAATGCCCCATAGATTCTCTGTGGGGTTCAGGTGGAATAATCTCGGCTCAAAGTGTCCCACTCTAATCAGCTCATTCAGCCATAACACCTGCAAAGGGTTCCTGAGCCTTTAAATGGTCTCTCAGTCTGGTTCAGTAGGAATCACAATCATGGGAAAGACTGCTGACCTGACACCATCACTGACACCCTCCATAAGGAGGGAAAGCCTCAGAAGGTAATTGCAGAAGAAGTTGGATGTTCCCAAAGTGCTGCATCAAAGCACATTAATAGAAAGTTATGTGGGAGGGAAAAGTGTGGAAGAAAAAGGTGCACAAGCAGCAGGGATGACCGCAGCCTGGAGAGGATTGTCAGGAAAAGGCCATTCAAAAGTGTTGGGGACTTTCACAAGGAGTGGACTGAGGCTGGAGTCAGTGCATCAAGAGCCACCACACAGAGACGGATCCTGGACATGGGCTTCAAATGTCGTATTCCTCTTGTCAAGCCGCTCCTGAACAACAAACAACGTCAGAAGCGTCTTACCTGGGCTAAAGAAAAACAGACCTGGTCTGCTGCTCAGGGGTCCAAAGTCCTCTTTTCTGATGAGAGCAACTTTTGCATCTAATTTGGAAACCAAGGACCCCGAGTATGGAGGAAGAATGGAGAGGCACAAGGACCCCGAGTATGGAGAAAGAATGGAGAGGCACAAGGACCCCGAGTATGGAGGAAGAATGGAGAGGCCCAAGGACCCCGAGTATGGAGGAAGAATGGAGAGGCCCAAGGACCCGGAGTATGGAGGAAGAATGGAGAGGCCCAAGGACCCCGAGTATGGAGGAAGAATGGAGAGGCCCAAGGACCCCGAGTATGGAGGAAGAATGGAGAGGCACAAGGACCCCGAGTATGGAGGAAGAATGGAGAGGCACAAGGACCCCGAGTATGGAGAAAAAGAATGGAGAGGCACAAGGACCCCGAGTATGGAGGAAGAATGGAGAGGCCCAAGGACCCCGAGTATGGAGGAAGAATGGAGAGGCCCAAGGACCCGGAGTATGGAGGAAGAATGGAGAGGCCCAAGGACCCCGAGTATGGAGGAAGAATGGAGAGGCCCAAGGACCCCGAGTATGGAGGAAGAATGGAGAGGCCCAAGGACCCGGAGTATGGAGGAAGAATGGAGAGGCACACACTGCAAGATGCTTGAAGTCCAGTGTGAAGTTTCCACAGTCTGTGTTGATTTGGGGAGCCATGTCATCTGCTGGGGTTGGCCCACTGTGCTACATTAAGTCCAGGGTCACCGCAGCCGTCTACCAGGAGATTTTGGAGCACTTCATGTTTCCTTCCACAGACGAGCTTTATGGGGACGCTGACTTCATTTTCCAGCAGGACTTGGCTCCGCCCACACTGCCAAAAGCACCAAATCCTGGTTCAATGACCGTGGGATTACTGTGCTTGATATTGGCCAGCAAACTCGCCTGACCTGAACCCCACAGAGAATCTATGGGGCATTGCCAAGAGAAAGATGAGAGACATGAGAGCGAACAATGCAGAAGAGCTGAAGGCCGCTATTGAAGCATCCTGGTCTTCCATAACACCTCAGCAGTGCCACAGGCTGATAGCTTCCATGCCACGCCGCATTGAGGCAGTAATTGCTGCAAAAGGGGCCCCAACCAAGTACTGAGTACATATGCAGCTTCTACTTCTCAGAGGTGCGATATTGTTCTATGTACAATCCGTGTTTTATTGATTGCATGGAATATTCTCCTTTTCTGAGATTGTGGATTTGGGGTTTTCATGAGCTGTAAGCCATAATCATCACAATGATGACAAATCACGGCTGGAACTATCTTGCTTTGCATGGAATGAGTCTCATATATTAGTGTCACCTTTTAAGTTGCTGCACTGAAATAAATGAATGAATGAATGAATGCACCAGATTCTCATTGTTCCAGCTTCACCTGTATATATATATATATATACACACACACAGTATCTCCCAGAAGTGAGTCCCCCCCCCTCCCCCAGACTGTATACAATGTATATATATAGGTGGGGGAGGTATTATTTGCGCACATTACATTTCATCTGTAGCAGCATCCCAGGCAGTTCAGATGCTGCATTTGCGCCTCTTTTTTTGACGTAGCGTCTCCTATGGAGGTCCTACTGAACTGCAGGCAGAGCCGGTCACAAAGCCTTTAATGGCCAGACTCTGCATGACAGTTACAGGCAGAATCTAAAAAGAATGCCCACCAGCGCTAGTCAGTTATACACAGGCAGCCAACAAGCAGGCAGTGTTAGGATCCCTTAGAAAGTCAGACTGCTCTCTGGGCTGAGTGTCGGACACTCTGTGTAATAAATGTTTATTTGATAAAGACATAATTTACACAGATAAAACGAACCCCCAAAACCATCATAGCTCCCCTTTAAAAGAAAAAAAAAAAAATAGTCGTCAGAAGTCCAGTGATTGATTGGAGGAGAAGCAGAGCTCCGCCTACCTTTGCCGCGTCAGACACGGTGTCCCAGTTGCCTCCGCTCAGTGAAAAGTTCCCGCTTCCTATTCGCAGTAAGATTTCCTCCGGCGTGTCGTTCGGCAGTTCGGCCCGTTGGCAAACGGCGTGTACCTTGAAGAGGAGAAGAGTCACATGACGGGGAATGTTACATCCAATGACATATGAGAGATTCCCACCACACGTGGAATGTTTCTATTTTCATCAGTTGGGGACAGGGTTCAAGAACCCCCCCCTCCCCCACCTGCCCTTGGATGCAGCAAGAACTGTATATGGCAGCACAGCAGCTAAAAAGTTATCACCTCCGCCTGGCAGTACTGGGGCCGTCAGTTCGAAGCCCAACCATGGCACCACCTGCCTGGAGTTTTGCATGTTCTCCCCCTGTGCCTGCGTAGGTTTCCTCCAGGTACTCTGGTTTCCTTCCACTGTCTAAAGGCATGCTGGTAGGTCAAGTGGATCCTTTCTAAATTGTCCCTAGTATGTACGGATGTGAGTTAGGGACCTTAGATTGTACGCTCCTCGGTCCCGGACACTTTCCCCCCCCTTCCAGTGCGGACACTTTCCCCCCCTTCCAGTGCGGACATTTCCCCCCCCTTCCAGTGCGGACACTTCCCCCCCTTCCAGTGCGGACACTTTCCCCCCCTTCCAGTCCGGACACTTTCCCCCCCCCCTTCCAGTCCGGACACTTTCACCCCCTTCCAGTCCGGATACTTTCCCCCCTTCCAGTCCGGACTCTTTCCCCCCTTCCAGTGCGGACACTTTCCCCCCCCTTCCAGTGCGGACACTTTCCCCCCCCTTCCAGTGCGGACACTTTCCCCCCCCTTCCCAGTGCGGACACTTTCCCCCCCCTTCCAGTGCGGACACTTTCCCCCCCCCCCCCTTCCAGTGCAGACACTTTTCCCCCCCCCTTCCAGTCCGGACACTTTCCCCCCCCCCTTCCAGTCCGGACACTTTCCCCCCCCTTCCAGTCCGGACACTTTCACCCCCCTTCCAGTCCGGACACTTTCACACCCCCTTCCAGTCCGGACACTTCCCCCCCCTTCCAGTCCGGACACTTTCCCCCCCCCCCTTCCAGTCCGGACACTTTCTCCCCCTTCCAGTCCGGACACTTTCCCCCCTTCCAGTCCGGACACTTTCCCCCCTTTCCAGTCCAGACACTTTCCCCCCCCCTTCCAGTGCGGACACTTTCCCCCCCCCCCCCCTTCCTGTCCGGACACTTTCCCCCCCCCCCCTTCCTGTCCGGACACTTTCCCCCCCCCTTCCTGTCCGGACACTTTCCCCCCCCCTTCCTGTCCGGACACTTTCCCCCCCCTTCCTGTCCGGACACTTCCCCCCCCTTCCAGTCCGGACACTTTCCCCCCTTCCAGTCCGGACACTCCCCCCCCCTTCCAGTCCGGACACTCCCCCCCCCCCCTTCCAGTCCGGACACTCCCCACCCCCCTTCCAGTCCGGACACTCCCCCCACCTTCCAGTCTGGACACTCCACCTCCACCCCCCCTTCCAGTCTGGACACTTTTACCCCCCGTTCCAGTCCGGACACTTTCCCCCCCTTCCAGTGCGGACACTTTTCCCCCCCCCCCCCTTCCTGTCCGGACACTTTCCCCCCCCTTCCTGTCCGGACACTTTCCCCCCCCTTCCTGTCCGGACACTTTCCCCCCCTTCCTGTCCGGACACTTCCCCCCCCTTCCAGTCCGGACACTTCCCCCCCTTCCTGTCCGGACACTCCCCCCCCCCCCCCTTCCAGTCCGGACACTTTCCCCCCTTCCAGTCCGGACACTCCCCCCCCCCCCCCCTCCCCTTCCAGTCCGGACACTTTCCCCCCCCCCGTTCCAGTCCGGACACTTTCCCCCCCTTCGTTTTTAGCATTTTTTTGAGACAGATAAAGCTTTATTTTGGTGGTATTTATTCACCGCTGGGAGTTTTATTTTTTTTGCTATATAAATGAAAAAGTCCAAAAATGTTGAAAAAAAAAGTGTTTTTCTTATAAAATGTTGCAAATAAATAATCTTTCTACATAAATCTTGGCCAAAATGTATTCAGCTTTGTAGTAAAAAAAAAATTAACGCAAATTCGTTTATAACCAAAAATGATAATTTTAAAAAAAAAATGTTTTACATTTTTATTTTTTTTTTTAATATTATTTGTTTTTTTTTTTTTGTTTTTTTCCATACTGTCACCCTAGCAGTGTGGGGTCACCATGGTGACACTGTACTACTTGTGGGGGGTGATGAAGATTTTTTTTTTTACACTGATTGCTTTTATACCCATAAAGGCTGTAAGAGGAATCATTTCTCCTTCTCTCTGGCTGCATTCCTGCAGCCATTGAGAAATACTGTGTGAGCTGTGATTGGTCACAGCTTGTCACATGGTACAAGGCTGTTGTGAATGGCCCTGTATCATGTGATCTCTGTGATCATTCACAGATTTCACACGTAGTAAGCAATGATGTCAGAGGGGAGTGTGCACAGGCAGGGAAGCGGGAGGACGTTTATAAACAGCCACCCGCTCCTGCACTGCCACCGTCCGGCCGTTTATGTACATGGGCGGACGGGAAGTGGTTAAATTTGGACCCGGGAAGATCTGTAAGGAAGATCTGTAAGGATAGAAAACAAACACCTGGCGCTAGGAATAATAAGTAAAACAGCTCATGAAATAAGTCTGTTGGGGGGGGGGTAGAAACAGGTGGACGAGCCTTGGATTTAGCACCCCCTCTCCCCCCGGCTGCCCACCTAAACTGTAAAAAAAACGCAGGATGGAGATGTTCACATGCTGCATGCAGCATTTTTAACCCGGGGTGCAAAGTTTGACAAGCAGCACCGCTTGTCAACTGAGTTCAATGGCGCCGCAAACGCGTGCAATGTACAGTATTGGGGAGCAGCGGTGTGGCATTACAGGGTTATATCAGGTGGTGTGGAGGCAATAGAACACCTTACTGCCTTGCTGAAAAGAACTGCGACTGGAAGGATAGAACCTGACCAGGGGCGTACTGACAACTCATGGGGCCCCCGGGCAATAGGGGATCATGGGCCCCCTGTGTCTTTGCCCAAACTCAAACCACACCCAAAAAAGCCTATGAAAGGTACCAGGGGCATCTCATGGGGCCCCCTACTGACCCTGGGCCCTCGGGCACTGCCCCAGCTTCTGAATGGTCAGTCCACCCCTGAACCTGACACAGGTACAGCCGGGACTGACCTGGACTGGAGAATGGCTCCCGGGGGGTTGTAGGGTGCAGGCGCTGGCACAGGAAGGACTTGGCGGGGTACTGGAAGTGAGCCTGAGCAGCTGATTGGGTACAGCGGGGGAAGAACCCAGCCTCCCCCGCTGTACCCAATCAGCTCCTTTAGGCTCTCTCCTTCCAGTTCCAGCACCTCTCCTCGAGGACGTCAGTCAGCTTCCTTAGTGACAGGTTCAGACAAGCATGCTGACAGTGAAGGCACTGAGGCCTGGACAGGGCCAGATGCGGTCCAGGGGCCACAGTTGGCTCAGGTTTAGAACAGAGTGATCTTACCGGCCAGCATAGTATAAAGCAGCACTCCGAGGCTCCAGATATCGCAGGCAGCGTCATAGCCTTGTCTCATCAGGACCTGCAATCAGACAACGGCATTATATGCGACACATCCAGGGCTCCACAGGGATTGGTCAGCACAGCAAAGAGAGACGGTCAGAATCCTACAGCGACCAAAATCCTGCATGCCTGATCTCTGATTGGTTGCTGCCCATTCTAAACTCTGCAAACTACCAATGCTAAATATATAGAAAGATATTACCCCCCCCCCCCCCCCCCCGAGGGGTCGTACAGATCATTTATCGAAATGAGGGACAAAAAAGAAAATCCAAAGTTTTTATTATTTCCGCAAGTGACAACAAAAATAAAATAAAAGGTGTGACGGGAGTGACTTTTGGGGGTGGGGGGACCCCTGTCTCTGCTCCCCAAATCCCTCTTATGTGTAAGTCACCCTGTGCCTGTTAGGGTGCTCTGTCCTGATATTGTGCAGACATGTATAGGTGGGGTGGGGGGTTGTCCATTGTTCACTGCCACTTGGTTGCCCCATTGTGTCCAACTATTATGGGATGTATGTGTTCCCCTATTGTCTACTGCCACATGGTGTATCCCATTGTTCTATTGTGTGTCTTGGGTTGGTGGGGGGTGGTTCCTGCAGCCCTTCCCCCTGATGGGACGGCCTGCTGATGTGTTTCCTGTCCCTGGTTGTATTTCCCCGCCCTGTGTATATATCTTGTGTTTGTGTTAAAATAAAGCAGTTGACTTCCTGTCTTAAGAGAGTCTGGTGCTGTCTTGTCCTGTATGGTCAGCGGTGGGGTCCGTGGATGGTGTTCGGACAGGGAAGCGGGAGTCTAACGGAAATACCCTAGCACAGTCAGGGTCCGGTTCCATTATAAAAGGCATCCCACAAGTTTGGGGGGGGTCCCCAATTCCCCTTCATCGGAGTTGAAGACAATGGGGTACATAGTTAGTCTGGCTGAAAAAAAGTCCATCCAGTTCAACCATTAAAAAAAAAAAAAAAAAGCTATAATCCTACACCCAGTGTTGATCCAGAGGAAGGCAAAGAAAAAACAGCTCCTGCAGGGAAACAAATTCCTTCCTGATCCCCCGAGAGGCAATCGGATATTCCCTGGATCAACTTTCCCTATAAATGTTATATCCAGTTATATATTTTGTGTAGATTTACAAAAACTGGAGCACTCGGAGTCAGGAGCAGCTGTGCATGGGAGCCAATCAGCTTCTGACTTCAGCTCATTCAATGAAGTTTTGGCAATAAAACCTGGAAGCTGATTGGCTTCTATATAGAGCTGCACCAGATTCTGCACTCTCCAGTTTTAGGCTAGGTTCACCCCATACAGTGCAGGAAATGCGTATTTGCTCACCGGCTGATGCTGAATGTTCGCCCCTCACACAGAAATGATCGGTCTAACAATGGAATGTTCGCCCCTCACACAGAAACGATCGGTCTAACAATGGAATGTTCGGTGTAACACTGAGAGACAGAATACAACAACAAATTCAGCAGAAATGCGTCTAACAAATGATGACGGATCTGCATGTTCATGAGGGAAAGAAGGATTTGATCCCCTTCACAAAACATGACTTAATACTTGCTGGCCAATCCCTTGTTGGCAATCACAGAGGTCAGACGTTTCCTGGAGTTGGCCCCCAGGTTCGCACACATCTCCGGAGGGATTTTGGCCCACTCCAGGACCTCAATGTGATTCTTCTTGAGCCGCTCCTTTGTTGCCTTGGCCGTGTGTTTTGGGTCATTGTCATGCTGGAACACCCATCCACCACCCATTTTCAATGCCCTGGCTGAGGGAAGAAGGTTCTCACCGAAGATTTGAGGGTACATTGCCCCATCCATCGTCCCTTTGATGCGGTGCAGTTGTCCTGTCCCCTTACCAGAAAAACACCCCCAAAGCAGAATGTTTCCACCACCATGTTTCACAGTTGGGATGGTGTTCTTGGGGTCATAGGCAGCATTCCTCCTCCTCCAAACACGGCGAGTTGAGTTGATGCCAAAGAGCTGGATTTTGGTCTCCTCTGACCACAACACTTCCCACCAGTCCTCCTCTGCATCATTCCGATGTTCAGTGGCAGACTTCAGACGGGCCTGGACATGGGCTTTCTTGAGCAGAGGGACCGTGCGGGCACTGCAGGATTTCAGTCCTTGTCGGCGTAGTGTGTTACCAATTGTTTTCTTGGTGACTGTGGTCCCAGCTGCCTGGAGATCATTGACAAGATCCTCACGTGTAGTTCTGGGATGATTCCTCACTGTTCTCATGATCATTGACACTCCACGAGGTGAGATCTTGCATGGTGCACCAGACCTAAGGAGACTGACACTTGTTTTGTGTTTCTTCCATTTGTGAATGATTGCACCAACTGTTGTCACCTTCTCACCAAGCTGCTTGGCCATAGTTTGGTAGCCCAGTGTAGGTCTACCATCTTGTCCCTGACCTCCTTGGACAGCTCTTTGGTCTTTGCCATGGTGGAGAGTTTGGAATCTGATGGTTTGATGGCTCCTGTGGACAGGTGTCTTTTATACAGGTAACACAATGAGATTAGCAGCACTCCCTTTAAGAGACTGCTTCTAATCTCAGCTTGTTACCTGTATGAGAGACACCTGGGAGCCAGAAATCCTGCTGAATGACAGGGGATCAAATCCTTCTTTCCCTCATGAACATGCAGATCCGTCATCATTTGTTAGACGCATTTCTGCTGAATTTGTTGTTGTATTCTGTCTCTCAGTGTTACACCGAACATTCCATTGTTAGACCGATCATTTCTGTGTGAGGGCGAACATTCCATTGTTAGACCGATCATTTCTGTGTGAGGGGCGAACATTCCATTGTCAGACCGATCGTTTCTGTGTGAGGGGCAAACATTCAGCATCAGGGGGGGGCAAATACGCATTTCCTTCACTGTAAGAATTCGGGGGGGTTGCTGGGGGGACAAATGCAGAACAGAAGGTTTTTTTTATACCTTAATACACAGAATGCATTAAGGTAAAACAAGGTGTTACTAAACAGTAAAATCAAACTGTAGATGCAGTAAAGCGTGATTGGACACGGCTGATCACATGACCAAGCCGACATCTTTGGCTCTTTCTGTGCACCGCCGATCGCCGCGCATGCGTGGTCAGAATGGGGGGACGTCATATGACGTCCTCCCAGAACAAGAGAACCACCTTGCGTCCATCCTATTACTATATGGCGGGTGGGAGGCGGTTAAATTTGCTTTTTTCACACATTAATAGGAAGAGAAGAGCTCCCTGGTGTTCATGAACCCCCTATGAAACAAGACACTGAAGGGGGTCACAGTTCTCATCACCTCGGGGGCCACAAAGTTGGCCGTATAACACGGAGTCAGCAGCAGCCCGTTGTCTCCTCTCAGCTGCTTGGCAAAGCCAAAGTCACATATTCGGATGGAGTCTGCGTTGCTGGAATCGTCCATGTAGAGGATATTACTGGGCTTCAGATCTCGATGAACCACCTGTCAGAGCAAAGAGAACCTGTTATATAGAGAGGAAGCAGTGACTGCCAGATACAGAGCAACCTACAAATCAGCTACACAACACCAGCAGAAAGAGTCCGTCTAATGTATCGATAATGACAGTGAACTACAAATCGACACATTTCCATCATGTACAAAGGGAATTCATAACACATATTGTCGTTTTGGCTTTTCAGGTGTCATAGTTACATAGTTAGTCTGGCTGAAAAAAGACAAAAGACCATTCAGTTCAACCATAAAAAAAAGTTATATTCCTACACCCACAGTTGATCCCAGAGGAAGGCAAACAACCCAGCAAAGCACGATCCAATCTCCTCCTGCTGGGGAAAAAATTCCTTCCTGATCCCCCGAGAGGCAATCGGATATTCCCTGGATCACCTTTCCCTATAAATGTTCTATCCAGTTATATTCTGTGTATCCAAGAAACAATCCAGGACTTTCCTACAGCAATCCACTGAGCTGGCCACACCCAACTCTGGAGGGAGTCTATTCCACATTCTCACAGCTCTTACTGTGAAGAAACCTTTCCGTGTTTGGAGATTACATTTCTTTTCCTCCAGATGTAAAGAGCGCCCCCTTGTATTATACATGGAGATCATATCCCCCCTTATGTATTATACATGGAGATCATATCCCCCCTTATGTATTATACATGGAGATCATATCCCCCCTTATGTATTATACATGGAGATCATATCCCCCCTTATGTATTATACATGGAGATCATATCCCCCCTTATGTATTATACATGGAGATCATATCCCCCCTTATGTATTATACATGGAGATCATATCCCCCCTTATGTATTATACACGGAGATCATATCCCCCCTCATGTATTATACATGGTGATCATATCCCCCCTTATGTATTATATATGGAGATCATATCCCCCCCTTATGTATTATACATGGAGATCATATCCCTTCTTATGTATTATACATGGAGATCATATCCCCCCCCTTATGTATTATACATGGAGATCATATCCCCCCTTATGTATTATACATGGAGATCATATCCCTTCTTATGTATTATACATGGAGATCATATCCCCCCCCTTATGTATTATACATGGAGATCATATCCCCCCTTATGTATTATACGTGGAGATCATATACCCCCCTTATGTATTATACGTGGAGATCATATCCCCCCCCTTATGTATTATACATGGAGATCATATCCCCCCTTATGTATTATACATGGAGATCATATCCCCCCCTTATGTATTATACATGGAGATCATATCCCCCCCTTATGTATTATACATGGAGATCATATCCCCCTTATGTATTATACATGGCGATCATATCCCCCGTTATGTATTATACATGGAGATCATACCCCCCCTTATGTATTATACATGGTGATCATATCCCCCCTTATGTATTATACATGGAGATCATATCTCCCCTTATGTATTATACATGGAGATCATATCCCCCCTTATGTATTATACATGGAGATCATATCCCCCCCTTATGTATTATACATGGAGATCATATCCCCCCTTATGTATTATACATGGAGATCATATCCCCCTTATGTATTATACATGGAGATCATATCCCCCTTATGTATTATACATGGAGATCATATCCCCCTTATGTATTATACATGGAGATCATATCCCCCTTATGTATTATACATGGAGATCATATCCCCCCCTTATGTATTATACATGGAGATCATATCCCCCCCTTATGTATTATACATGGTGATCATATCCCCCCCTTATGTATTATACATGGAGATCATATCTCCCCTTATGTATTATACATGGAGATCATATCCCCCCTTATGTATTATACATGGAGATCATATCCCCCCCTTATGTATTATACATGGAGATCATATCCCCCTTATGTATTATACATGGAGATCATATCCCCCCTTATGTATTATACATGGAGATCATATCCCCCCTTATGTATTATACATGGAGATCATATCCCCCCTTATGTATTATACATGGAGATCATATCCCCCCTTATGTATTATACATGGAGATCATATCCCCCCTTATGTATTATACATGGAGATCATATCCCCCCCCTTATGTATTATACATGGAGATCATATCTCCCCCTTATGTATTATACATGGAGATCATATCCCCCCTTATGTATTATACATGGAGATCATATCCCCCCTTATGTATTATACATGGAGATCATATCCCCCCTTATGTATTATACATGGAGATCATATCCCCCCTTATGTATTATACATGGAGATCATATCCCCCCTTATGTATTATACATAGAGATCATACCCCCCCCCCCTTATGTATTATACATGGAGATCATATCCCCCTTATGTATTATACATGGAGATCATATCCCCCCTTATGTATTATACATAGAGATCATACCCCCCCCCCCCTTATGTATTATACATGGAGATCATATCCCCCTTATGTATTATACATGGAGATCATATCCCCCCTTATGTATTATACATGGAGATCATATCTCCCCCTTATGTATTATACATGGAGATCATATCCCCCCCCCCTTATGTATTATACATGGAGATCATATCCCCCCCTTATGTATTATACATGGAGATCATATCCCCCCTTATGTATTATACATGGAGATCATATCCCTCCTTATGTATTATACATGGAGATCATATCCCCCTTATGTATTATACATGGAGATCATTTCTTGCCTTGAGCAAAGTGGGGAGTCAGCAATGTCCCTTCCTATCCTTTAGGACCAGGTTTCAGCATCCATGCCATTATAACAAATGATTGAGAAGCAGGCTGGAAATAAAGAGTCCTGTGGCAGGAGGTCTGGCCTGTTTGGAAAGAGTCATGGGTCATCCACCAGGCGTCTGTCTAAGTCTCTGTACCAAGTTCTCCTGGCCCAATGTGGACCTTAGGCATCCATGCTTCTTCTTGTGGAACAGAGAACCTTCTCTAAAGGAAATGCATACACCGGTCTGAACATGGACCAAGGAATCACCATGTCATCCACTGCAAAGGCCAGGGACCCCTGGACCTGGCCACAAATCTATCCAATTTTTTGTTGAATCTAGAGGCAATGATGTCCACATCTGGTGTTCCCCATATCCAACAGAGACTCAGGAAGATCTCAGGATGGAAGGACCAATCTCCTGAGTCCAGGCATTGGTGACTCAGGAAGTCCACTTGTATGAAGATAGCAGAGATATTTGGAATGTGGTTCTCCACCCATGAGAGAATCAGGCTTTCTTCTGTCAGGGCTTCCAGACTTCTGGCACCCCCTGGATGGTTTATGTAGGTCACAGCTATGGCGTTACCAGACTACACCCTGACTAGGTGAAGGTGAGGAGTCCAATGTAGGAGAGTCAGTCTTATAGCTCTAAGTTCCAGAATGTGGCTGGGGTACATGGACTCCTGTGGAATCAGGCCTGCATCTGTTGCTACCACCTTCCAGGGAGAGCGAAGGAACAATTTCCTGGATATTAGCTCTGAGCTAGAAAACCAACATGCCATGGAGATGTTGTTCACTGCAGTGGACATTCCAGGGAAGGGATCTACTTGCCCCACACCATAAAAAAAAGGCCAGACAATAAAAGTATGGCAAAACTAGTGGATTTTTGGGGCACAGTAAGAGACCACACAGGGGACATCCCTTACATTCAAGCTATGGTCCTGAAGAAGCACATTGTACAGACAAAACGCGTTGATCATTTTTTGATCTCTTACTCTGTATCTGATACCTATGTTTTAGGTGACTATGATGTATGAAAGGGAGTTATTTTGTAATTACCCGTGTCCCTTTCACCTTTGCCCCTTTTTGGGGGTTATGTATCGTGTGTCTCATACATGGTATGACTCTTTTATGCTAATAAATGGTTGTATGAATATTATTGTGTGGGATCTTTTGTGCCCAAAAAATCCGCTAGTTTTGCCGTACTTTTATTGTCCGGCCTTTTTTCTTGTTATTATTAGGATGTGGCACTAGGAAGCTCTTTTGTTATTTTTCATTGTCCCACATCATGCATTGAGCTTGAAAGACCTTGAGCGGAACCGTCTCAAAGGAGGCCACCATGCAGCCCAGAACCCTCATGCAGAAGTGAGAAGGATGCCTGGTCGAAGGTCCAACAGCTGGATCTCAGAAAAGAAACCTTTTCCTGGGGAAGGAAAACTTTGGCCTGGACTATGTCCAGATCAGCCTAAAAAACTCCAAACAAAGGAAAGGTTGGAGAGCAGACTTGTTGAAGTTGATCGGCCATCTGAAAGTTGGAAGGGAATGGATGTTGGAAGACAGGACCATGGCTAAGGAACCTGTACACGGAAAGTCATCCAGGTATCCTGTGACACGGGTGCCCTGAGATCTTAGCCATGAGCAAAGCAAGCACTTTTGTGAAGACTCTTGGTGCAGAGGAGAGCCTGAATGACCAGTCAACAAATTGAAAGTATTGATCTTCTCCTTGACCTCTCTGCGGCCTTCGACACAGTCGACCACCCCCCTCCTCCTCAATAAACTACTCTCCCTTGGCATCAGAGATACCGCTCTCTCCTGGTTCTCATCCTACCTATCCCGACGCTCCTTCAGCGTCACCTACAATGGTACCACCTCCCCCTCCCTCCCCCACTCTGTTGGGGTCCCCCAAGGCTCTGTCCTTGGACCCCTTCTCTTCTCCATCTACACCTCCTCCCTGGGCACACTCATACACTCTCACGGCTTCAATTATCACCTCTATGCTGACGACACCCAAATTTACCTCTCCACCCGTCTCCTCACCCCCACTATCTCCGCCCGCATCACTCACCTCCTAAACGACATCTCAGACAGGATGTCGCTCCATTTCCTCAAGCCTAACCTCTCCAAAACCGAACTTCTCGTCTTTCCCCCCCCCCCCCCCCCCCTATCCTATCCATCCCCACCACCAATACCACTATCATTCCCGCCCCGCAAGCCAAAGTCCTTGGCGTCATTCTTGACTCGAACCTCTCCTTCCTCCCTCATGTCAAATCACTTGCAAACACATGCAGGCTCCATCTCCGCAATATTGCCAAGATACGTGCCTTCCTCACCCCAGACACCACCAAACTTCTAGTACACTCCCTCATCATCTCACGCCTGGACTACTGCAACTCTCTTCTCATTGGCCTACCCAAGTGCAGGCTCTCCCCGCTCCAGACCATCCTGAACTCAGCGGCCAGACTCATCCACCTCACCACCCGCTCCACCTCTGCCACCCCCTCTGCCTCTCGATTGCCCAACGCATCAAATTTAAACTTCTAACCCTGACCTACAAAGCCGTTCACAACACTGCCCCTGACTACCTCACCAACCTGATCCCCAAGTACCGCCCTACCCGTACCCTTCGCTCCTCACAGGACCTCCTTCTATCCTGCTCCCTGGTCTCCTCCTCCCATGCACGATTGCAGGACTTCTCCAGGTCCTCCCCTATCCTCTGGAACTCACTGCCCCAATCCATCAGACTGTCGCCTTCCCTCCTCACATTCAGGCGCTCCCTCAAAACCCATCTCTTCAGGGAAGCCTACCCCACCCTCACCTAACGGCCATCCTCCCTCATTCCTCCCACCACTTCATCCCCCTCAGCCACTTCCTATTGTTCCACTACCCCCTCCCTCCTAGATTGTAAGCTTGAAAGAGTAGGGCCCTCTTACCCCTCGTACGTTGTCTGTTGCTGTACTGTTTCTTGTATTGTCCCCCCCCCCCCCTCTATTGTACAGCGCTGAGCAAACCCTTTGGCACTATATAAACTCGATGTAATAATAATAATCTCAGGACAAAGTGCAGAAAGCGGAGAAAAGATGGAAATACGAGGGTGGACATCTGATGTGACATTGACAGAGCTTGTAGACTCCATGCAAAACTCCGGGGCATGCTGATATATTTTTTTTTTTTTTTTTTTAGAGATTTTAGGTTCAGAATGGGACAAATGCCTCCATTCAGTGTTGATATTGTGAATACGATTGCGTACATTTCTTTGAAGCTTTCCTCTGCAGGAACAAAGATTAGCACTCGTTGTGCCTGGAGTGGATTCAGGATGGCGCACAAACCTGCCAGTCTCTGAGGCAGAACTGGCCGAATAAGCTGCTGATTGGACCTTTGCTTTCAGGAACACTAAGATGCTTGTTGAGAACTTAATGGCAGGATCCACTACTGGCACAAATCAATTATCTTTCCACAAAATACAACTCAGGAAAGAGTTTTGGAGGATTCATTAACTGTTCACCTTTTGTCCGATCCTCATGCAAAGCATAGGTAGTTTGTGTGTGGAAAAGTCTTTCTAGACTTCATCGGCTGTTTAATAGGAGCTTGTCTAGGCTGAGGAGATTCCGGCGCTGCTGGGCATAGGCTAGTACACACCTCATCAATAGAAAGTAGAACGTACAGTTGTGTTCAAAATCATATCCGTGTGATGAAAAAAGTGACTAAAGCTGAAAATCCTTCTAATCCTTTTATTTCCATCCACACAAATGCATTGGGAACACGACACATTCTATTCCAAATCACAACATGAAGAAAAATACATCAAATTTGTGTTGTTCCTCTAAAAAAAATGGAAGAAAAGTGAATATTAGACGGTTCAAGAAAATGGCCGTGTTTGTATTCTTCTTTACAAACTCCAACATTCACTATATAAACTGAGAAATGTTTGAAGATTTTGCTTTCCTTTGAATGACTTCATGAATATTTGGTTGTAGTCGCACTGTTTCTGAGAACTGCTGTACATCTGTGTTGCATGGAGTCCCCCAACTTCTGGCCCCTGTGATCAGGTATTCCAGCCCAGGATGATTGGACCACATTCCACAGTTCTTCTCTATTTCTTGGTTTGGCCTCAGAAATGGCATTTTTGATGTCACCCCACAAGTTTTCTATTGGATGAAGATCCGGGGATTGGGCTGGCCACTCCATAACGTCCATCTTGTTGGTCTGGAACCAAGATGTTGCCCGTTTACTGGTGTGTTTGGGGTCGTTGTCTTGTTGGAACCCCCATTTCAAGGGCATTTCCTCTTCAGCATAAGGCAGCATGACCTCTTCAAGTATTCTGATGGATTCAAACTGATCCATGATCCCTGGTATGCGATAAATAGGCCCAACACCGTAGTATGAGAAACATCCCCATATCATGATGCTTGCACCACCATGCTTCACGGTCTTCACAGTGTACTGTGGCTTGAATTCAGTGTTTGGGGGTCGTCTGACAAGCTGTCTCCGCCCACTAGACCCAAAAAAAGAACAATCTTACTTTCATCAGTCCACAAAATGTTGCGCCATTTCTCTTTAGGCCGGTCAATGTGCTCTTTGGCAGATTGTAACCTCTTCAGCACACGTCTTTTTTTCCAACAGTGGGACTTTGCGGGGACTTCTTGCAGATAGCTTGGCTTCACATCGGCGTCTTCTAATTGTAACAGTCCTCACAGGCAACGTCACACCTTCTTTCATCTTCTTGGAGCTGATTGTTGGCTGAGTCCTCACAGGGAACGTCACACCTTCTTTCATCTTCCTGGAGCTGATTGTTGGCTGAGTCCGCCCCATTTTGGCTATTCTTCTATCTATTCCAATGGTAGTTTTTTCGCTTTCTTACGCGTCTTTCAGGTTTTGGTTGCCATTTTAAAGCATTTGCCATCATTTTAGCTGAGCAGCCGATCATTTTCTGCACTTCTTTATATGTTTTCCCCTCCAATCAACTTTTTAATCAAGGTACGCTGTTCTTCTGAACAATGTCTGGAACAATCCATTTTCCTCAGAATTTCAGAGAGAAATGCACTGTAACCAGCATGTCCAACATTTGCTGCCTTCCTTCCTTAAATAAGGGCAATCATTGCCACCTGTTTATCAAAGAATGAATGACGTCACTAATAGAACTCCACACGGCTATTATTGTGAACACGCCCCTTTCAATGAGTGATTCAATGACACAGAATCAGCAGCATGCATGTCATGACTGTTGGGTCTGTTGGATTTCTATGACTCTACTACACCTGCTAGGAAATTATCTGCCGCATAGAAATATCATTTCCACCAAAAACAGTGATTGATCCGGTTAGTGATGTCTGACGGCTATTATTTTCAACACAACTGTATATGGCGTGAAGCCTTGGCTTGTGCCTCGTGAAATGCAGGAGGCCAACAGTGATCTGCAGGATGACCTTCTGTGTCCACCTCACCTTCCTCAATAGTTTTCTCGAAGAGATTAGGAGGTTCAGGTTTAGAGTCATTTATATATTCAGGGATTTCCGGATCTCACTCAGGTTATCCATAGAGGCCCATTTGTGTCCAAACCTGCCCAATGGCATTTACTAGAGTTTTGTCCCTTTATTAAAACCCAAAGTGTGTGACTCTGGGCCAAGCTGGGGCTCCCTCTTCTGTTCTTCTATTATTTCAGGGTGACACATGACAATTTTAGGTCTCACTCAGCTAGTGCTGGCACAAGTCACACTGACAGAGGGGTACTATTCCTCCCACTGACACCAATGATAGGGCACTATTCCTCCCACTGACACCAATGATGGGGTACTATTCCTCCCACTGACACCAATGATAGGGCACTATTCCTCCCACTGACACCAATGATGGGGTACTATTCCTCCCACTGACACCAATGATGGGGTACTATTCCTCCCACTGACACCAATGACAGGGCACTATTCCTCCCACTGATACCAATGATGGGACACTATTCCTTCCACTGACACCAATGATGGGGTACTATTCATCCCTCTGACACCAATGATGGGGCACTATTCCTCCCTTTGACACCAGTGATGGGACACTATTCCTCCCACTGACACCAATGATGGGGCACTATTCCTCCCACTGACACCAATGATGGGGTACTATTCCTCCCACTGACACCAATGATGGGGCACTATTCCTCCAACTGACACCAATGATGGGGCACTATTCCTCCCACTGACACCAATGATGGGGCACTATTCCTCCCACTGACACCAATGATGGGGCACTATTCATCCCTCTGACACCAATGATGGGGCACTATTCATCCCTCTGACACCAATGATGGGGCACTATTCCTCCCACTGAAACCAATGATGGGGCACTATTCCTCCCACTGACACCAATGATGGGGCACTATTCCTCCCACTGATACCAATGATGGAGCACTATTCCTCCCACTGACACCAATGATGGAGCACTATTCCTCCCACTGACACCAATGATGGGGCACTATTCCTCCCACTGACACCAACGATGGGACACTATTCCTCCCACTGACACCAACGATGGGACACTATTCCTCCCACTGACACCAACGATGGGGCACTATTCCTCCCACTGACACCAACGATGGGACACTATTCCTCCCACTGACACCAATGATGGGGCACTATTCCTCCCACTGACACCAACAATGGGGCACTATTCCTCCATCTGATGGGGCACCCCCCACCACCATGATCTGTGAACTACCTCAGCAGCTCCTTTTGCTCCCCCCACCTTCTTGGTAAAGCACCCAAGGCAGCCGACTCTTTTGCCCTCCCATTGGCCCCCTCCTGCACTCACCCCTTGGCAGTGCAGGTAGTCCAAGGTCTTGGTGATGGTGTAGAGGACGGCACTGGCCTCTCGCTCGGAGAAGAACTTCTGTCGGAGTATCCGGTCGAGCAGCTCTCCGCCTTTCATCAATTCAGTCACAAGGTAGACGTAGCGCCCATCGTCATCGTACACCTGGAGGGGGTCGGAGAAGTGAGAATGATGGATGACTAGTGCTGGGACCCCCCACAGTACAGTCTGTAGATGCCGGAACATACGCTTGGTATACTCACTGTGGGACCGAAGGGGTTAATCCTCAAAAGTCTATTTCATCCTTTCTTCTCTGCCCTTCCTTTTGTTCAAATGTCCACATCTTATCTCCTGATAAAAACAGATTGAACCCGTAGCCCCATGCGCATGCTCACTTAAGTGTGTATTGCTAAAGGTTTTTTTTTTTACTTGGGAGAGTGCATGTGATCAGCACAGGGCCAATCAGCACTGTCCAGACAGAGGTCAAGGGTCCTGCATCCTCTTAGAGCAAAAAGAAAAATCCTACTATAAGCTTTAGCCAGTGCTCTGCTGGACACTGATAGAAGTCACAAGACTGCTATATACTGCTGATGAGAAAAGGGATTTAGTAGTTTATATTTACTAAAATAATTGCATTTCCATGTTGTGTGTACTGTGGGAGAGCGGATATAGGGAATGCGGGGTCCGGGGAGAGCGGATATAGGGAATGCGGGGTCCGGGGAGAGCGGATATAGGGAATGCGGGGTCCGGGGAGAGCGGATATAGGGAATGCGGGGTCCGGGGAGAGCGGATATAGGGAATGCGGGGTCCGGGGAGAGCGGATATAGGGAATGCGGGGTCCGGGATAGCGGATATAGTGAATGCGGGGTACGGGGAGAGCGGATATAGTGAATGCAGGGTCCGGGGAGAGCGGATATAGTGAATGCGGGGTCCGGGGAGAGAGGATATAGTGAATGCGGGGTCCGGGGAATGCGGATATAGTGAATGTGGGGTCTGGGGAGAATGGATATAGTGAATGCGGGGTCCGGGGAGAGCGGATATAGTGAATGCGGGGTCCGGGGAGAGAAGATTTAGTGAATGCGGGGTCCGGGGAGAGCGGATATAGTGAATGCGGGGTCCGGGGAGAGCGGATATAGTGAATGCGGGGTCCGGGGAGAGCGGATATAGTGAATGCGGGGTCCGGGGAGAGCGGATATAGTGAATGCGGGGTCCGGGGAGAGCGGATACAGTGAATGCGGGGTCCGGGGAGAGCGGATATAGTGAATGCGGGGTCCGGGGAGAGCGGATATAGTGAATGCGGGGTCCGGGGAGAGCGGATATAGTGAATGCGGGGTCCGGGGAGAGCGGATATAGTGAATGCGGGGTCCGGGGAGACCGGATACAGTGAATGCGGGGTCCGGGGAGAGAAGATTTAGTGAATGCGGGGTCCGGGGAGAGCGGATATAGTGAATGCGGGGTCCGGGGAGAGAAGATTTAGTGAATGCGGGGTCCGGGGAGAGCGGATATAGTGAATGCGGGGTCCGGGGAGAGCGGATACAGTGAATGCGGGGTCCGGGGAGAGCGGATACAGTGAATGCGGGGTCCGGGGAGAGCGGATACAGTGAATGCGGGGTCCGGGGGATATAGTGAATGCGGGGTCCGGGGAGAGCGGATACAGTGAATGCGGGGTCCGGGGAGAGCGGATACAGTGAATGCGGGGTCCGGGAGAGCGGATACAGTGAATGCGGGGTCCGGGGAGAGCGGATACAGTGAATGCGGGGTCCGGGGAGAGCGGATACAGTGAATGCGGGGTCCGGGGAGAGCGGATACAGTGAATGCGGGGTCCGGGGAGAGCGGATACAGTGAATGCGGGGTCCGGGGAGAGCGGATACAGTGAATGCGGGGTCCGGGGAGAGCGGATACAGTGAATGCGGGGTCCGGGGAGAGCGGATACAGTGAATGCGGGGTCCGGGGAGAGCGGATACAGTGAATGCGGGGTCCGGGGAGAGCGGATACAGTGAATGCGGGGTCCGGGGAGAGCGGATACAGTGAATGCGGGGTCCGGGGAGAGCGGTTACAGTGAATGCGGGGTCCGGGGAGAGCGGATACAGTGAATGCGGGGTCCGGGGAGAGCGGATATAGTGAATGCGGGGTCCGGGGAAAGAGGATATAGTGAATGCGGGGTCCGGGGAGGGCGGATATAGTGAATGCGGGGTCCGGGGAGAGCGGATATAGTGAAAGCGGGGTCCGGGGAGAGCGGATATAGTGAATGCGGGGTCCGGGGAGAGGGGATATAGTGAATGAGGGGTCCGGGGAGAGCGGATACAGTGAATGCGGGGTCCGGGGAGAGCGGATATAGTGAATGCGGGGTCCGGGGAGAGCGGATATAGTGAATGCGGGGTCCGGGGAGGGCGGATATAGTGAATGCGGGGTCCGGGGAGAGCGGATATAGTGAATGCGGGGTCCGGGGAGAGCGAATATAGTGAATTCGGGTTCGGGGAGAGCGGATACAGTGAATGCGGGGTCCGGGGAGAGCGGATACAGTGAATGCGGGGTCCGGGGAGAGCGGATATAGTGAATGCGGGGTCCGGGGAAAGCAGATATAGTGAATGCGGGGTCCGGGGAGAGCGGATACAATGAATGCGGGGTCCGGGGAGAGCGAATATAGTGAATGCGGGTGTCCGGGGAGAGCGAATATAGTGAATGAGGGGTCCGGGGAGAGCGGATACAGTGAATGCGGGGTCCGGAGAGCGGATACAGTGAATGCGGGGTCCGGGGAGAGCGGATATAGTGAAAGCGGGGTCCGGGGAGAGCGGATATAGTGAATGCGGGGTCCGGGGAGAGGGGATATAGTGAATGAGGGGTCCGGGGAGAGCGGATACAGTGAATGCGGGGTCCGGGGAGAGCGGATATAGTGAATGCGGGGTCCGGGGAGAGCGGATATAGTGAATGAGGGGTCCGGGGAGAGCGGATACAGTGAATGCGGGGTCCGGAGAGCGGATACAGTGAATGCGGGGTCCGGGGAGAGCGGATATAGTGAATGCGGGGTCCGGGGAGAGCGGATATAGTGAATGCGGGGTCCGGGGAGAATGGATATAGTGAATGCGGGGTCCGGGGAGAGGGGATATACTGAATGCGGGGTCCGGGGAGAGCAGATATAGTGAATGCGGGGTCCGGGGAGAGGGGATTTACTGAATGCGGGGTCCGGGGAGAGCAGATATAGTGAATGCGGGGTCCGGGGAGAGCGGATATAGGGAATGTGGGGTCCGGGGAGACAGGATATAGTGAATGCGGGGTCCGGGGAGAGCGGATATAGTGAATGCGGGGTCCGGGAGAGCAGGGGGTCCGGATTCTGAGCAGGCGGCTTCTATACACTGAACTATTTCCAGTTTCCTTGTGTTGTAACACATCTAAGGGCCCACTCAGAAGGGCGGACCGATCGGACCACCCATGTTCTCTATGGGAATGCACATGTGTCTGTTTACACCCGGCCTGCATCTCATCCAATCTGCTAAAAACAGATGACTAGGAATCCATCCCCAGCTGTCTATCAGATTGGATGTCAGTCAGATGTGCGTTTACATCCATCCACCCCATAAAGCACAAGCATTGGAGCTTTATGAAGGAGTCCCCCCCCCACCCCATACATTGTAATTCCTTCACCCTCTTACCTGGGTTGTCGTATAATCCTGGTCCCTGACCCTATGAATCCAGAGCTGTCTAGTGTAATCCGAGGTTCCGTTGTGCTACGTGGGGTCCTAATCTGCCACAATCTCCTCTTATGTCATCAGGGGCCCGGGAGCCACACTTCTGGCTTTCTCCCCAATTCTCTTCTCCTCTGTCTGAAGGCTCCTTGGAAACTTGATGTCGCACATCCCAGGATGCCCCGGGGCCATCTCCAGAACGCTGGGCATGCGATGCCGTGCATCATCCGGGGGGCTTGCTTCAAGAACCCCTCGAGGATGCACTGCGGCGCATGCTCAGTACGGTGGAAATTGCCCAGCACATTCACAATGTTGTGGAAATGGCCCCAAAGCATCTTGGGATGTGTGACGTGAGTATCCAAGGAGGCCTCAGGAAAAGGGGAACATTATTCTGGCCCAGCCATGAAAGCCGAAGTGCGGGTCCCGATACCATCAAAAAAGGTGTTTTACAATATGAAAAATAATTTAAATATTTGATTGGGCAGCACAGTGGCTAACACTTCCACCTGGCAGTACTCGGGTCATTGGTTCGAATCCCAACCATGGCACCACCTGCCTGGAGTTTGCATGTTCTCTCCCTGTGCCTGCGTGGGTTTTCTCCGGGTGATCCGGTTTCCTTCCACACTCCAAAGACATGCGGGAGGTGAATTGGCTCCTGTCTAAATTGGATCTAGTATGTGTATGTATGAATGTGAGTTAGGGACCTTAGATTGTAGGCTCCTCGGGGGCGGGGACTGATGTGAATGTACAATATGTATGTAAAGTGCTGCGTAAATTGACGGCGCTATATAAGTACCTGAAATAAATAAAATAAATAAATTGTGTAATAAATAAATTGATGCATGGGCGCTCCATCACACCTGTACAGTGCGAATCTTGCCTAACCTAGATCGTAAGATTGTATGCTCCTCGGGGGCGGGGACTGATGTGAATGCATAAATTGACGGCGCTATATAAGTACCTGAAATAAATAAAATAAATTGTGTAACTGGGAAGGGGGACAGGAAAACAAGACAAAGGGGGCGAAGGTGTGCTTTGCCTTTGTTTTGGCTAGTCTGCTTTAGGCTAGGTTCTGAATGGGCCACCCTACATGCGAGAAACGCAAAAAAGATGTCGTAGATCCTTTTCCAAAATTGCACCGCACCGAATCGCATGGTGCACTCCTCAGCAGACGCATGGGTGCGCCACCACACCTGTACAGTGTGAATCTTGCCTACCCTATACAACGAATGGGCAGCACAGTGGCTAAGTGGTTAGCACTTCCGCCAGTACTCGGGTCGTTGGTTCAAATCCCACCCACGGCACCACCTGCCTGGAGTTTGCATGTTCTCCCTGTGCCTGTGTGGTTTTCCTCTGGGTATTCCTTAGATTGTACGCTCCTCGGGGGCGGGGACTGATGTGAATGTACAATATATATGTAAAGTGCTGTGTAAATTGACGGCGCTATATAAGTACCTGAAATAAATAAATTGTGTAACTGGGGAGGGGGAACAATAAAAAGTCAAAGAGGGTGAAGGTCCGCTTTAGGCTAGGTTCTGAATGGAAGTGAATGGGCCGCCCTACATGCGAGAATCGCATGGTGCACACCTCAGCAGATGCATGGGCGCGCCGTCACACCCTGTACAATGGGAATTTTGCCTCACCTATACAAGAAATTAGTTTTTTTTTATAGCAAGTTAAGAGATGTGGGCAGCAAAGTGGCTAAATGGTTAGCACTTCCACCTGGCACTTCCGCTCCTCGGGGGCGGGGACTGATGTGAATGTAAAATATATACAGTGGGGATGGAAAGTTTGGGCACCCCAGCTAGAAATTTGTATTAATGTGCATAAAGAAGCCAAGGAAAGATGGAAAAATCTCCAAAAGGCATCAAATTCCAGATTAGACATTCTTATAATATGTCAACAAAAGTTAGATTTTATTTCCAGCATTTACACTTTCAAAATAACAGAAAACAAAAAAAATGGCGTCTGCAAAAGTTTGGGCCCCCTGCAGAATTTATAGCATGCACTGCCCCCTTTGCCAAGCTGAGACCTGCCAGTGTCATGGATTGTTCTCAATCATCGTCTGGGAAGACCAGGTTATGTCAATCTCAAAGGTTTTAAAATGCCCCGACTCATCTGACCTTGCCCCAACAATCAGCACCATGGGTTCTTCTAAGCAGTTGTCTAGAAAACTGAAACTGAAAATAGTTGACGCTCACAAAGCTGGAGAAGGCTATAAGAAGATAGCAAAGCGTTTTCAGATGTCAATATCCTCTGTTCGGAATGTCATTAAGAAATGGCAGTCATCAGGAACAGTGGAAGTTAAAGCAACATCTGGAAGACCAAGAAAAAATATCAGACAGAACAGCTCGCAGGATTGTGAGAAAAACAATTCAAAACCCACGTTTGACTGCACGATCCCTCCAGAAAGATCTGGCAGACACTGGAGTTGTGGTCACTATTCCACTATAAAGAGATACTTGTACAAATATGGTCTTCATGGAAGAGTCATCAGAAGAAAACCTCTTCTATGTCCTCACCACAAAAATCATCGTTTGAACTTTGCAAATGAACATATAGACAAGCCTGATGCATTTTGGAAACAAGTTCTGTGGACCGATGAGGTTAAAATGGAACTTTTTGGCCGGAATGAGCAAAGGTACGTTTGGAGAAGAAGGGGCACAGAATTTAATGAACAGAACCTCTGTCCAACTGTGAAGCATGGGGTTGGATCAATCATGCTTTGGGGTTGTGTTGCAGCCAGTGGCACAGGGAACATCTCACGAGTAGAAGGAAAAATGGATTCAATAAAATTTCAGCAAATTTTGGATGGTAACTTGATGCCATCTGTGAAAAAGCTGAAGTTAAAGAGAGGATGGCTTCTACAAATGGATAATGATCCTAAACACACCTCGAAATCCACGGGGGATTACATCAAGAGGCGTAAACTGAAGGTTTTGCCATGGCCTTCACAATCTCCTGACCTCAACATCATTGAAAATCTATGGATAGACCTTAAAAGAGCCGTGTGTGACAGACAGCCCAGAAATCTCAAAGAACTGGAAGACTTTTGTAAGGAAGAATGGGCAAAGATACCTCCAACAAGAATTGAAAGACTCTTGGCTGGCTACAAAAAGTGTTTACAAGCCGTGATACTTGCCAAAGGGGGCAGTACAAGATATTAACTCTGCAGGGGGCCCAAACTTGTGCAGACGCCATTTTTTTGTTTTCTGTTATTTTGAAAGTGTAAATGATGGAAATAAAATCTAACTTTTGTTGACATATTATAAGAATGTCTAATCTGTAATTTGATGCCTTTTGGAGATTTTTCCATCTTTCCTTGGCTTCTTTATGCACATTAATACAAATATTTAGCTGGGGTGCCCAAACTTTCCATCCCCACTGTAAATATATATATAAAGTGCGGCGTAAATTGACGGCGCTGTATAAGTACCTGAAATAAATAAATAAATTTAGCAGAAAGTCTGTCAGCAGCTGGTTGGAGCCTCCATGAAAAGGACAACGTCCCTCAAAAGCCTCTGGGTTGGGCTTTCATAATGCCTTCTACTTCATCTGAACTACTAATCTTGGCGGGAGACTTCAGTCCCACCTCAGGAACAAGGCCGGAGAAGCTGAACCCTGTGTCAGATATGGACGGACCCCCCCAAGGTGGGGGTCACTTACGTCTTTTAGGGTGATGATGTTCGGATGCTGTCCGTACCGCATCAAGATCTCAATCTCTTCTGACGGATCTCTCTTACTCTTGTCGATGATCTGCAACAAAAGATCCGCCACATGTAACAGCCGGAGACGGTGTCACTAAGATTCCTTTTACTTTTATAGAAAATGAATGATTCCAGGCACAGCGATTAGAACACGATGACGAGTGCAAAGCACGGCAGAATGAACTGCTTCTATTGGAGCCTTTTGGAGATCACCATCTGGGTCTCAGTTCTGGACGGTTCTGAATAAATCCAGTTTTCAGATATTTGATTAAAAACCGCTCTAATATCAGAAAACAGAGAGAATTTTACAGACTTTCCTGCCTCGGAATGAATTTTCTACTTTATTTCCAAAAATGTGGTTTAATCCGAAGCATATAATTAGTGCCACATCCAATGCAATTTGGGGGCCCCACCCCGCCCCATTCATCAGGGCTTAAAAATATATGGAATCAGCTGATATGGACTATTGATGATCCCTGCTAGTACTGCTGCTTCCTGCCTATTGATGATCCCTGCTAGTACTGCTGCTGCCTGCCTATTGATGATCCCTGCCTAGTACTTCTGCTGCCTGCCTATTGATGATCTCTTCCTAGTACTGCTGCTGCCTGCCTATTGATGATCCCTGCCTAGTACTTCTGCTGCCTGCCTATTGATGATCCCTGCCTAGTACTTCTGCTGCCGTCTATTGATGATCCCTGCCTACTGCTGATCCCTGCCTAGTGATAAACCCTGCCTAGTACTTCTGCTGCCTGCCTATTGATAAACCCTGCCTAGTACTGCTGCTGCCTGCCTATTGATGATCCCTGCCTAGTACTTCTGCTGCCTGCCTATTGATGATCTCTGCCTAGTACTTTTGCTGCCTGCCTATTGATGATCCTTGCCTAGTACTTCTGCTGCCTGCCTATTGATGATCCCTGCCTAGTACTGCTGCCTGCCTATTGATCATCCCTGCCTAGTACTTCTGCTGCCTGCCTATTGATGATCCCTGTCTAGTACTGCTGCTGCCTGCCTATTGATGATCTCTGCCTAGTACTGCTGCCTGCCTATTGATGATCACTGCCTAGTACTTCTGCTGCCTGCCTATTGATGATCCCTGCCTAGTACTGCTGCTGCCTGCCTATTGATGATCCCTGCCTAGTACTGCTGCTGCCTGCCTATTGATGATCCCTGCCTAGTACTGCTGCTGCCTGCCTATTGATGATCCCTGCCTAGTACTGCTGCTTCCTGCCTATTGATGATCTCTGCCTAGTACTTCTGCTGCCTGCCTATTGATGATACCTGCCTAGTACTGCTGCTGCCTGCCTATTGATGATCCCTGCTAGTACTGCTGCTGCCTGCCTATTGATGATCCCTGCTAGTACTGCTGCTGCCTGCCTATTGATAATCCCTGCCTAGTACTGCTGCTGCCTGCCTATTGATAATCCCTGCCTAGTACTGCTGCTGCCTGCCTATTGATGATCCCTGCTAGTACTGCTGCTGCGTGGCTATTGATAATCCCTGCCTAGTACTGCTGCTGCCTGCCTATTGATGATCCATGCCTAGTACTGCTGCTGCCTGCCTATTGATGATCCCTGCCTAGTACTTCTGCTGCCTGCCTATTGATGATCTCTGCCTAGTACTGCTGCTGCCTGCCTATTGATGATCCCTGCCTAGTACTGCTGCTGCCTGCCTATTGATGATCCCTGCCTATTGATGATCCCTGCCTATTGATGATCCCTGCCTAGTACTTCTGCTGCCTGCCTATTGATGATCTCTGCCTAGTACTGCTGCTGCCTGCCTATTGATGATCCCTGCCTAGTACTGCTGCCTGCCTATTGATGATCACTGCCTAGTACTTCTGCTGCCTGCCTATTGATGATCCCTGCCTAGTACTGCTGCTGCCTGCCTATTGATGATCCCTGCCTAGTACTGCTGCTGCCTGCCTATTGATGATCCCTGCCTAGTACTGCTGCCTGCCTATTGATGATCACTGCCTAGTACTTCTGCTTCCTGCCTATTGATGATCTCTGCCTAGTACTTCTGCTGCCTGCCTATTGATGATACCTGCCTAGTACTGCTGCTGCCTGCCTATTGATGATCCCTGCTAGTACTGCTGCTGCCTGCCTATTGATGATCCCTGCTAGTACTGCTGCTGCCTGCCTATTGATAATCCCTGCCTAGTACTGCTGCTGCCTGTCTATTGATGATCCCTGCTAGTACTGCTGCTGCCTGGCTATTGATAATCCCTGCCTAGTACTGCTGCTGCCTGCCTATTGATGATTCCTGCCTAGTACTGCTGCTGCCTGCCTATTGATGATCCCTGCCTAGTACTTCTGCTGCCTGCCTATTGATGATCTCTGCCTAGTACTGCTGCTGCCTGCCTATTGATGATCCCTGCTAGTACTGCTGCTGCCTGCCTATTGATAATCCCTGCCTAGTACTGCTGCTGCCTGCCTATTGATGATCCCTGCCTAGTACTGCTGCTGCCTGCCTATTGATGATCCCTGCCTAGTACTGCTGCTGCCTGCCTATTGATGATCCCTGCTAGTACTGCTGCTGCCTGCCTATTGATGATCCCTGCCTAGTACTTCTGCTGCCTGCCTATTGATGATCCCTGCCTAGTACTTCTGCTGCCTGCCTATTGATGATCCCTGCCTATTGATGATCCCTGCCTAGTACTTCTGCTGCCGTCTATTGATGATCCCTGCCTACTGCTGATCCCTGCTTAGTGATAAACCCTGCCTAGTACTTCTGCTGCCTGCCTATTGATAAACCCTGCCTAGTACTTCTGCTGCCTGCCTATTGATAAACCCTGCCTAGTACTTCTGCTGCCTGCCTATTGATGATCCCTGCCTAGTACTTCTGCTGCCTGCCTATTGATGATCTCTGCCTAGTACTTCTGCTGCCTGCCTATTGATGATCCCTGCCTAGTACTGCTGCCTGCCTATTGATGATCACTGCCTAGTACTGCTGCCTGCCTATTGATGATCCCTGCCTAGTACTTCTGCTGCCTGCCTATTGATGATCCCTGCCTAGTACTTCTGCTGCCTGCCTATTGATGATCCCTGCCTTGTACTGCTGCTGCCTGCCTATTGATGATCCCTGCCTAGTACTGCTGCCTGCCTATTGATGATCACTGCCTAGTACTTCTGCTGCCTGACTGCCTATTGATGATCCCTGCCTAGTACTGCTGCTGCCTGCCTATTGATGATCCCTGCCTAGTACTGCTGCCTGCCTATTGATGATCCCTGCCTATTGATGATCACTGCCTAGTACTGCTGCTGCCTGCATATTGATGATTCCTGCTTACTGATGACCATAGCCTGTGTTAAACTTGCACCAGTCTCCTATCTAATACTGCTGCTGTCTGCTTGTTGATGACCCCTGCCTGTTATCAGCAGACCTTGCATATATCTCTTGCCTAGTACTGCTGATTCCTGCCTGTGCCTGGCCTTGCACCTACCTCCTGCCTGTGCCTGGCCTTGCACCTATCTCCTGCCTGTTCCTGGCCTTCCACCTATCTCCTGCTTGTTCCTGGCCTTGCACCTATCTCCTGCTTGTTCCTGGCCTTGCACCTATCTCCTGCCTGTGCCTGGCCTTGCACCTATCTCCTGCCTGTTCCTGGCCTTCCACCTATCTCCTGCTTGTTCCTGGCCTTGCACCTATCTCCTGCCTGTGCCTGGCCTTCCACCTATCTCCTGGCTGTACCAGGGGCTCTGGTGAAGAAGCAGGCTGGGGCTTAGACTCCGTGCCCTGGGGAATCCCAAGTTGAGTATCTACAAGGGTTCACTACCACAGGTGCTGACAGATGGTTTTGGTGCAAGAGCCCTGAACGGGTGTCATATACAGTGAGGAACAGAAGTATTTGAACCCCCTCCGATTATGCAAGTTCTCCCACTTCTCCATCATGGAGGTCTGACATTCACATTGCAGGGGATTCCCACTCTGAGGACAGAATTCAGGAGATCACATTGTATGATTTGTAAAGAATGTATTTGTCTCGCACGGCTGAACAGAAGTATTTGAACCCCTGAGAAGATCCGTGTTAATATTTGGTACAGAAGCCTTTGTCTGCAATTACAGAGGTCAGACGTTTCCTGTAGTCCTTGGCCAGGTTTGCACTGCAACAGGGATTTTGGCCGACTCCTCCACACCGATCTCCTCTAGATCTGTCAGGTTTCGGGGCTGTCGCTGAGCAACACGGAGTTTCAGCTCCCTCCAAAGATGTTCTATTGGATTTAGGTGTGGAGACTGGCTAGGCCACTCCAGAACCTTGATATGCTTCATACGGAGCCACTCCTTGGTTCTCCTGGCTGTGTGCTTCGGGTCGTTGTCATGTTGGAAGACCCAGCCACGACCCATCTTCAATGCTCTGACTGAGGGAAGGAGGTTGTTGCTGAAAATCTCACCATAAATGGCCCCATTCATCCTCTCCTTAATACAGTGCAGTCTTCCTGTCCCCTTCGCAGAAAAGCACCCCCAAAGCATGATGTTACCACCCCCCATGCTTCACAGTAGGGATGGTGTTCTTGGGATGCAACTCATCCTTCTTTTTCCTCCAAACACGACGAGTGAAGTTTAGACCAAAAAGTTCTACTTTGGTCTCATCTGACCACATGACTTTCTCCCATGCCTCCTCTGGATCATCCAGATGGTCATTGGCAACCTTCAGACGGGCCTGGACATGTGATGACTTGAGCAGGGGAACCTTCAGACGGGCCTGGACATGTGATGACTGGAGCAGGGGAACCTTCAGACGGGCCTGGACATGTGATGACTTGAGCAGGGGAACCTTCAGACGGGCCTGGACATGTGATGACTGGAGCAGGGGAACCTTCAGACGGGCCTGGACATGTGATGACTGGAGCAGGGGAACCTTCAGACGGGCCTGGACATGTGATGACTTGAGCAGGGGAACCTTCAGACGGGCCTGGACATGTGATGACTTGAGCAGGGGAACCTTCAGACGGGCCTGGACATGTGATGACTTGAGCAGGGGAACCTTCAGACGGGCCCGGACATGTGATGACTTGAGCAGGGGAACCTTCCATGCAATGCATGATTGGAAAACCATGACGGCGTAGTGTTCTACAGACAGTGACCTTTGAAACTGAGGTCCCAGCTCTCTTCATGTCATTGACCAGCTCCTCCCTTGTAGTTTCTGGGCTGATTCCTCACCTTTCGTATCATCAGTGATACCCCATGAGGTGACATCTTGCATGGAGCCTCAGTCCGAGGGAGACTGACAGTCGTCTTTAGCCTCTTCCATTTTCTAACAATTGCTCCAACAGTTGATCTTTTTTCACCAAGCTGCTTGGCAATTGCCCCGTAGCCCTTTCCAGCCTTGTGGAGGTCCACAATTTTGTTTCTGGTGTCTTTTGACAGCTCTGTGTTCTTGCCCATGGTAGTAGTTGGCGTCTGACTGACTGTGGGGTGGACAGGTGTCTTGAAAGAGCTCAGACAGGTGCTACTAAGTGAGATGAATGAGTGGAGTAGAGGTGGACTTTGTAAAGACGCAATAACAGGTCTTTTGAGAGCCAGAATTCTTGCTGTTTCTTAGGTGTTCAAAAACTTCTGTTCAGCAGTGCAAGACAAATAAATTCTTTACAAATCATACAATGTGATCTCCTGAATTCTGTCCTCAGAGTGGGAATCCCCTGCAATGTGATTTCCTGAATTCTGTCCTCAGAGTGGGAATCCCCTGCAATGTGATTTCCTGAATTCTGTCCTCAGAGTGGGAATCCCCTGCAATGTGATTTCCTGAATTCTGTCCTCAGAGTGGGAATCCCCTGCAATGTGAATGTCAGACCCTCCATGATGGAGAAGTGGGAGAACCTGCAGAATCGCAGGGGGTTCAAATACTTCTGTTCCTCACTGTACATTTTTCAAATTCAAACAGAACAACAGAAACATAATACAGATACCCTCTACATGCTTTAGCCCAACCTCTCTCAACCTTTTTACACCAGAGGAACCCTTGAAATAATTTTCAGGTCTCAGGGAAGCTCTGGTAAGATTAGTCCATTGGGACTGGGGTCACTTCCATTGTTGGTGGTAAATTAAGAAGAACGTCCCACTTACAGATGTGGCCACAATGACACCCTTGCAGTCAAACTGCTGGTTCTGCCAACTGGAGTTGAACCTGCAATAATGCAGGCACCTTCAGATGGGAAGATGAGTTTGCCAAGGTTCAAGGAACCCTTAGCCACCCCAGGAGGAACCCTGGCTGAGAATAGTAGCTTTAGACATACTTTTCACATGTAGGAAAGTAGCCCTGAGCACGCAAAAATGAGGAGTTCCTGCAGGGAGCAAGAAGCTGCGTTGTGTACCTTCACTGCGTACTCCATGTTGGTCGCCCGGTGAATGCAGCGTTTACATATGGAATAGGAGCCAACACCAATATCTTCCTTAAGGTCGTAGATGTCTGTAAACTGCGCCCGGCCTCCATGGAATTGCTGCAGAGACACAAACAGAGTTACTGCAGAGTGAGGATGAGCTTGTTGGTGAACATATGTGCCATCCTATCCCCCGACAGCTGAATAGGACTTACCTGTACAATGGGCAGGGTGGTGGTGACCGAGGAGATTTTATGTTCCTCAATGGAGGACGGAGCCACAAAGCTGAAGCCTTTAAAGAGCTGGTGGGCATTGGCACTGGGGGGAACTCCGGGAGAGTCTAGGGGGCACCAAGGAGAGAGACAATGTTACAGCTACAGATGTCTATTGCTGTCTGCAGTTCAGAAGAGAGACCTCTACAGTTGCAAGAAAAAGTATGTGAACCCCTTGGGATTACGTGGAGTTTTGCATGAATTGGGCATAAAATGTGCTCTGAACGTCATCTAAGTCACAACAATAGAAGAACACAGTCTGCTGAACATAATACTACACAAACATTAGATGTTGCCATGGTTTAATTGCACATAACATGTAAACATTCACAGTGCAGGGAGGAAAAAGTATGTGAGGCCCTAGCTTAATGACTTCTCCCAGAGCTAATTGGAGCCAGGAGTGAGCCAACCTTGACTCCAATCAGTGTGATGATATTGGATGTGTTGCTGACAGCTGTCCTGCCCTTAAAAACACACACACCTGTTTTGGGTTTACTGGTTTCAAGAAGCACTGTCTGATGTGAACCATGCCTCGCAGAAAAGAGCTCTCAGAAGACCTACCATCAAGAATTGTTGACTTGCATGAAGCTGGAAAGGGTTACAAAAGTATCTCCAAAAGCCTTGATGTTCATGTGTCCACGGTAAGACAGACTATCTACAAATGGAGAAAGTTTAGCACTGTTGCTACTCTCCCTAGGCATGGTCGTCCTGTAAAAATGACTGCAAGAGCACAGCGCAGAATGCTGCATGAGGTAAAGAAGAATCCCAGAGTGTCAGCTAAAGACCTACAGAAATCTCTGGCACATGCTAACATTTTTGTTGACACATCTACAATCAGGAAAACATGAAACAAGAATGGAGTACATGGGAGGACACCACGGAGGAAGCCATTGCTGTCCAAAAAGAAGATTGCAGCACGTTTAAAGTTTGCAAAAGAGCACCTGGATGTTCCACAGCACTACTGGCAGAATATACTGTGGACAGATGACACCAAGATTGAGTTGTTTGGGAAGAACACACAACACTATGTGTGGAGAAAAAAAGGCCCAGCACACCAACATCAAAACCTCATCCCCACTGTGAAACATGGCGGAGGGAGCATCATGGTTTGGGGCTGCTTTGCTGCCTCAGGGCCTGGACGGATTGTTGTCATTGATGGGAAAATGAATTCCAGAGTTTATCAAGACATTTTGCAGGAAAACGTACGACCATCTGTCCGCCAACTGAAGCTCCGCAGAGGATGGGTGATGCAACAGGACAATGACCCAAAGCATACAAGTCATTCAACAAAACAATGGCTGCAACAGCACAGAATACGCCTTCTGGAGTGGCCCAGTCAGAGTCCTGACCTCAACCCCATTGAAATGCTGTGGCATGACCTTAAGAGAGCAATTCACACCAGACATCCCAAGAATATTGCTACACTGAAACAGTTCTGTGAAGAGGAGTGGTCCAAAATGACTCCAGATCGTTGTGCAGGTCTGATCTGCAACTACAGGAAATGTTTGGTTGAGGTTATTGCTGCCAAAGGAGGGTCAACCAGTTATTAAGTCCAAAGGTTCACATACTTTTTCCTCCCTGCACTGTGAATGTTTACATGTTATGTGCAATTAAACCATGGCAACATCTAATGTTTGTGTAGTATTATGTTCAGCAGACTGTGTTCTTCTATTGTTGTGACTTAGATGACGTTCAGAGCACATTTTATGCCCAATTCATGCAAAACTCCACGTAATCCCAAGGGGTTCACATACTTTTTCTTGCAACTGTATACTGAAAACTGAAGGGCATGCTTGAGCAAAACTTATACACATCTTTGCAACACATGCACATTTCTTCAGGTTTTTTCTGGTTAAAAATATTGTGCAGAAAAATAACTGATGATCTGAAGCCTTAAATGTATATAAACTTTCATGTATTTGGGTCTGCAGAGTCCTCTGAATATATAATAAGCCATAGGTGACCCCAGACCGCGCTGTCAGCTCTCACTCACCGTCTGTATTCGCAGTTTATACCGGAGACTGGCAGAGAGGCCAATGTCTATATACAATGTTTAAGGAGAACTAATCAACAAACCTTTTGGCGTTTTGGCTGTGAACTCCGGATCAAAACAGAACGTGTCCTCAGGTTTTCCGGAAGCGGGTTTAAACGGGGTTGGATTTCACGCCTGTACAGCTTCTAAAAGCAGAGAAATTGACAAAGTCAGACAAAGGAGATTCAAAACAATAAAGAGATTTGTGTGGAGGGGAAATGACTTTCATCTTCCTCTGACCTATTAAAAATCTATACTTTGTACAGTATGTGTTTCTCTGTCACAACAAAGGTTAGGCCCCAACTCCAGGCTGTTCCTACAAGACAACACCGTACCAAACTCTTCACTTCCTGCAGAACCCAACCCTAACCCCAACCACAGCAGCAACTTCCAACACCAAACCCAACTACAGGACAAGCTCCAGCACCAAACCCAACTACAGGACCGACTCCAGCACCAAACCCAACCCAAACTACAGAATCAACTCCAACACCAAACCCAACTACAGGACCGACTCCAGCACCAAGCCCAACTCCAACACCAAACCCAACTGCAGGACCGACTCCAGCACCAAGCCCAACATCAACACCAAACCCAACTACAGGACCGACTCCAGCACCAAGCCCAACATCAACACGAAACCCAACTACAGGACCGACTCCAGCACCAAGCTCAACATCAACTCCAAACCCAACTACAGGAACAACTCCAGCACCAACCCCAACTACAGGACCGACTCCAGCACCAAGCCCAACATCAACACCAAACCCAACTACAGGAACAACTCCAGCACCAACCCCAACTACAGGACCGACTCCAGCACCAAGCCCAACATCAACACCAAACCCAACTACAGGAACAACTCCAGAATCAACTCCAGCACCAACCCCAACTACAGCATCAACTCCAACATCAAGCCCAACACCAACTCCAACCACAGCAGCAACTCCAACACCAAACCCAGCTAACAGGAGCAACTTCAGCACCAAACCCAACTAACAGGAGCAACTTCAGCACCAACCCCAACTACAGCAGCAACTCCAGCACCAAGCTCAACACCAAACCCCCAACTGCAGAAGCAACTCCAACACCAAACCCAACTACAGGACCAACTCCAACCACAACTACACCAGCAACTCCAACACCAAACCCAACTACAGCAGCAACTCCAGCACCAAACCCAGCAGCAACTCCAGCACCAAACCCAACTACAGCAGCAACTCCAACACCAAACCCAACTATAGGAGCAACTCCAGCACAAAGCCCAACACCAAATACAACCCCATCTACAGCAGCAAGCAACTCATGCACCAAGCCCAACATCATCTCCAACCACAGAAGCAACTCCAGCACCAAACCCAACTACAGAAGAAACTCCAGCACCAAACCCAACTACAGGACCAACTCCAACCACAACTACACCAGCAACTCCAACACCAAACCCAACTACAGCAGCAACTCCAGCACCAAACCCAGCAGCAACTCCAGCACCAAACCCAACTACAGCAGCAACTCCAACACCAAACCCAACTATAGGAGCAACTCCAGCACAAAGCCCAACACCAAATACAACCCCATCTACAGCAGCAAGCAACTCATGCACCAAGCCCAACATCATCTCCAACCACAGAAGCAACTCCAGCACCAAACCCAACTACAGAAGAAACTCCAGCAACAAGCCCTACACCAACTCCAAACCTAACTACAGCAGCAACACCAACACCAAACCCAACCACAGCAACAACTCCAGCACCAAGCCCAACACCAAATACAACCCCAACTACAGCAACAACTCCAGCACCAAGCCCAACTACAGCAGCAACTCCAACGCCAAAGCCAACTATAGCAGCAACTCCAGCACCAAACCCAACTACAGCAACAACTCCAGCACCAAACCCAACTACAGCAACAACTCCAGCACCAAACCCAACTACAGCAACAACTCCAGCACCAAACCCAACTCAGCAGAAAGTCCAGCACCAAACCCAACTACAGCATCAACTCCATAACCAAACCCAACTACAGCAGCAACTCCAGCACCAAACCCAATTACAGCAACAACTCCAGCACCAAGCCCAACATCATCTCCAACCACAGAAGCAACTCCAGCTCCAAACCCAACTACAGCATCAACTCCAGCACCAAACCCAAATACAGCATCAACTCCAGCACCAAACCCAAATACAGCATCAACTACAGCACCAAACCCAACACCAACTCCAAACCTAACTACAGCAACAACTCAAGCACCAAACCCAACTACAGCAACAACTCCAGCACCAAGCCCAACATCATCTCCAACCACAGAAGCAACTCCAGCTCCAAACCCAACTACAGAGGAAATTTCAGCAACAAGCCCTACACCACTCCAAACCTAACTACAGAAGCAACTCCAACACCAAATCCAACTACAGCAACAACTCCAGCACCAAACCCAACTACAGCAACAACTTCAGCACCAAGCCCAACACCAAACACAACCCCAACTACAGCAGCAACTCCAGCACCAAACCCAACTACAGCACCAACTCCAGCACCAAACCCAACTACAGCACCAACTCCAGCACCAAAACCAACTACAGTAGCAACTCCAACACCAACCCAAACACTATTCCCGATCAAACACTCCGACGTTACGATGAACACTATGCAGCATACATGCTGATCTTACCTGATGTATAAATAAGTTCTTACATCTTCTATTTTCCTATATACTCTTATTTTATAAATCTTGGTCTTGGACTTCAACTTGAGTGCCTAACGCTAATCCCAACCCCACATATTTTCCAAAAAGGGGACCAGGTACAAAACTCATCAATTTCTACCAAACCTTTACCTCAATGCGAACCCTGAGACCAAAAAGTTCGATCTGCACCAAAAACTTCAACTCAAACACAAACTCTAACCCCCCGACAAGATCTAACCCTAAAAAGAAACAATGATGATAACTTACATTCCAGTCAATGGTAGCAAAGAACGGATGTCGTTTTATCTCCTCCACCCGGTCCAGGCCGGCACCTAGAACAGACAGATTCCAATCAGACAGGCTTTCTAGATCCTACCACACAGGAGCCGCCATCTCCAGATATTGACTGATGAGAGCCAGCAAGAACGAGACAATATAACTATACAATTGGATAAATGGCTCTATATTTAGGACGTATCCGGTCTATAAACCAGAGGCTCTGATTGGACGGTTGGATAAATGGTTCTATATTTAGGATGTATCCGGTCTATAAACCAGAGGCTCTGATTGGACGGTTGGATAAATATCTCTATATTTAGGATGTATCCGGTCTATAAACCAGAGGCTCTGATTGGACGGTTGGATAAATATCTCTATATTTAGGATGTATCCGGTCTATAAACCAGAGGCTCTGATTGGACGGTTGGATAAATGGCTCTATATTTAGGATGTATCCGGTCTATAAACCAGAGGCTCTGATTGGACGGTTGGATAAATGGTTCTATTTTTAGGATGTATCCGGTCTATAAACCAGAGGCTCTGATTGGACGGTTGGATAAATGGCTCTATATTTAGGATGTATCCGGTCTATAAACCAGAGGCTCTGATTGGACGGTTGGATAAATGGCTCTATATTTAGGATGTATCCGGTCTATAAACCAGAGGCTCTCATTGGACGGTTGGATAAATGGCTCTATATTTAGGACGTATCCGGTCTATAAACCAGAGGCTCTGATTGGACGGTTGGATAAATGGCTCTATATTTAGGATGTATCCGGTCTATAAACCAGAGGCTCTCATTGGACAGTTGCATAAATGGCTCTATATTTAGGATGTATCCGGTCTATAAACCAGAGGCTCTGATTGGACGGTTGGATAAATGGTTCTATTTTTAGGATGTATCCGGTTTATAAACCAGAGGCTCTCATTGGATGGTTGGATAAATGGCTCTATATTTAGGATGTATCCGGTCTATAAACCAGAGGCTCTCATTGGACGGTTGGATAAATGGCTCTATATTTAGGATGTATCCGGTCCATAAACCAGAGGCTCTGATTGGACGGTTGGATAAATGGTTCTATTTTTAGGATGTATCAGCTTCAAAGATGTGAAGCTTTATTGAGAACGCAAGCAGACATTTTCTTTTCATCTATAATCGCCATTCCTTAGAAAATGAGGACAATTTTTCTCATCTCGGTAACAATACCAGTCTGATGGGCCATCATTAGAGCAATCACTACGGGGAGGATAACAAATCATGGCTCCCTAAGTCTGACTGAGAACATGAACACATGACAGGCGAGTCGGTGATCACATTATGCTGGATATCTGTCACACGCCGGATGCTCACCTAATCGATTTAATGGATTTCGTTTGAATAACATTCTCAGCAGACTCTGCGCTTCGGGGCTCAAAAATTGCGGCATCCCGAGCTTTGACCTGCAGGAGAGAGAAGAGTTAACACGTGTGGGCCTGGTGTGGGTTTTATTTATTGAGGAAGGTGTGTGTGTGTGTGTGGGGGGGGGGGGGGGGGGGGGGGGGGTTGGGTAAAAAAAAAAAAACGTAATTATTTCTGTTACTGGGTTTGTTGTGAAGTGACACCTGTAAATCAGGAAGGGAGGGGGGTTGTCACCAGGACAGAAAGGTGCAGCCAGCAATCAAAACAGACATCACAATAAGTCAACTCGAATGTCACCAACTTCTAACACTATGGCCTGATACAGTGAAGGAAATGTGTATTTGCTCCCCTGCTGATGCTGAACGTTCGCCCCTCACACAGAAAGGATCGGTCTAACAATGGAATGTTCGCCCCTCACACAGAAAGGATCGGTCTAACAATGGAATGTTCGCCCCTCACACAGAAGTGATCGGTCTAACAATGGAATGTTCGCCCCTCACACAGAAATGATCGGTCTAACAATGGAATGTTCGGTGTAACACTGAGAGACAGAATACAACAACAAATTCAGCAGAAATGCATCTAACAAATGATGACGGATCTGCATGTTCATGAGGGAAAGAAGGATTTGATCCCCTATCATTCAGCAGGATTTCTGGCTCCCAGGTGTCTCTCATACAGGTAACAAGCTGAGATTAGAAGCAGTCTCTTAAAGGGAGTGCTGCTAATCTCATTGTGTTACCTGTATAAAAGACACCTGTCCACAGGAGCCATCAAACCATCAGATTCCAAACTCTCCACCATGGCAAAGACCAAAGAGCTGTCCAAGGATGTCAGGGACAAGATGGTAGACCTACACAAGGCTGGACTGGGCTACCAAACTATGGCCAAGCAGCTTGGTGAGAAGGTGACAACAGTTGGTGCAATCATTCACAAATGGAAGAAACACAAAACAAGTGTCAGTCTCCCTAGGTCTGGTGCACCATGCAAGATCTCACCTCGTGGGGTGTCAATGATCATGAGAACAGTGAGGAATCATCCCAGAACTACACGTGAGGATCTTGTCAATGATCTCCAGGCAGCTGGGACCACAGTCACCAAGAAAACAATTGGTAACACACTACGCCGACAAGGACTGAAATCCTGCAGTGCCCGCACGGTCCCTCTGCTCAAGAAAGCCCATGTCCAGGCCCGTCTGAAGTCTGCCACTGAACATCTGAATGATGCAGAGGAGGACTAGTGGAAAGTGTTGTGGTCAGAGGAGACCAAAATCCAGCTCTTTGGCATCAACTCAACTCGCCGTGTTTGGAGGAGGAGGAATGCTGCCTATGACCCCAAGAACACCATCCCAACTGCGAAACATGGTGGTGGAAACATTCTGCTTTGGGGGTGTTTTTCTGCTAAGGGGACAGGACAACTGCACCGCATCAAAGGGACGATGGACGGGGTAATGTACCATCAAATCTTGGGTGAGAACCTTCTTCCCTCAGCCAGGGCATTGAAAATGGGTGGTGGATGGGTGTTCCAGCATGACAATGACCCAAAACACACGGCCAAGGCAACAAAGGAGCGGCTCAAGAAGAAGCACATTAAGGTCCTGGAGTGGCCTAGCCGGTCTCCACACCTTCATCCGATGGAAAATCTGTGGAGGGAGCTGAAAGTTCGAGTTGCCAAACGTCAGCCACCAAACCTTAATGACTTGGAGAGGATCTGCCAAGAGGAGTGGGCCAAAATCCCTCCTGAGATGTGTGCGAACCTGGGGGCCAACTCCAGGAAACGTCTGACCTCTGTACTTGCCAACAAGGGATTGGCCACCAAGTACTAAGTCATGTTTTGTGAAGGGGATCAAATCCTTCTTTCCCTCATGAACATGCAGATCCGTCATCATTTGTTAGACGCATTTCTGCTGAATTTGTTGTTGTATTCTGTCTCTCAGTGTTACACCCGAACATTCCATTGTTAGACCGATCATTTCTGTGTGAGGGGCGAACATTCCATTGTTAGACCGATCATTTCTGTGTGAGGGGCGAACATTCCATTGTTAGACCGATCATTTCTGTGTGAGGGGCGAACATTCCATTGTTAGACCGATCATTTCTGTGTGAGGGGCGAACATTCCATTGTTAGACCGATCATTTCTGTGTGAGGGGCGAACATTCACCATCAGCAGGGGAGCAAATACACATTTCCTTCACTGTAGGTACAGGTGGAGTTGCAGTTACAGCATTTAGAGCTGGAGACCCAATCCCCCCCTCTTAGAAATAGCCTCTTCCAAGAGTGGACACATATCTGCATCCAGTGGTAAGGAAATGTTTGTATGATGAGAGGTCCTCAGACAGTGGAGGTGAATAAAGTGCTCTGTGACAGGAGAGATCTGTCCCATTCCAAGAGAGGGCGTAATTTAAGGGTATGACCACGTTATGTCTCCCACGGATATACCGGATTTTTCGCTCCATAAGACGCACCTCCCCCCCCCTCAAAAAATGAGGAAAATGTCTGTTCGTCGTACGGAGCAAATATGGAGCGTCCGGCCCGGAATTCCCACCGTCGTCGTGTTAGAATACCAGGCCGGCCGCTCCATTGTGGGCACCTGGCTGGGACAGCTTGCTGCTTCACATCCAGGTGCCCACTGAGCATGTGCGAGAAGCGCTGCGCTGTGTGAATGGTCTGGCAGTCTTCTGGGACCTGTCATGTGTCCCAGAAGATGGGGAGGGAGGACAACTCCACGGAACTGGGAGCGGGTACCTGTCAAATTCAGGTACCCGCCCCTCCCCCCCCTGGTCATCTCCTGTACTGTGTCTGCAGTCTCTGGTCATCTCCTGTACTGTGTTCGCAGTCTCCGGTCATCTCCTGTACCGTGTCCGCAGTCTCTGGTCATCTCCTGTACTATGTCCGCAGTCTCTGGTCATCCCCTGTACTGTGTCCGCAGTCTCTGGTCATCCCCTGTACTGTGTCCGCAGTTTCTGGTCATCTCCTGTACTGTGTCCGCAGTCTCTGATCATCTCCTGTACTATGTCCACAGTCTCTGGTCATCTCCTGTACTGTGTCCGCAGTCTCTGGTCATCTCCTGGACTGTGTCCGCAGTCTCTGGTCATCTCCTGTACTATGTCCGCAGTCTCTGGTCATCTCCTGGACTGTGTCCGCAGTCTCTGGTCATCTCCTGTACTGTGTCCGCAGTCTCCGGTCATCTCCTGAACTGTGTCCGCAGTCTCTGGTCATCTCCTGTACCGTGTCCGCAGTCCCCGGTCATCTCCTGTACTATGTCTGCAGTCTCTGGTCATCTCCTGTACTGTGTCCGCAGTCTCTGGTCATCTCCTGTACTATGTCCGCAGTCTCTGGTCATCTCCTGTACTGTGTCTGCAGTCTCTGGTCATCTCCTGTACTGTGTCCGCAGTCTCTGGTCATCCCCTGTACTGTGTCCGCAGTCTCTGGTCATCTCCTGTACTGTGTCCGCAGTCTCTGGTCATCTCCTGTACTGTGTCCGCAGTCTCTGACCATCTCCTGTACTGTGTCCGCAGTCTCTGGTCATCTCCTGTACTATGTCCGCAGTCTCTGGTCATCTCCTGTACTATGTCCGCAGTCTCTGGTCATCCCCTGTACAATGTCCGCAGTTTCTGGTCATCTCCTGTACTGTGTCCGCAGTCTCTGGTCATCTCCTGTACTGTGTCTGCAGTCTCTGGTCATCCCTGTACTGTGTCTGCAGTCTCTGGTCATCCCCTGTACTATGTCCGCAGTCTCTGGTCATCTCCTGTACTGTGTCCGCAGTCTCTGGTCATCCCCTGTACTATGTCTGCAGTCTCCGGTCATCTCCTGTACTATGTCCGCAGTCTCTGGTCATCTCCTGTACTGTGTCCGCAGTCTCTGGTCATCTCCTGTACTGTGTCTGCAGTCTCTGGTCATCTCCTGTACTATGTCTGCAGTCTCCGGTCATCTCCTGTACTATGTCCGCAGTCTCTGGTCATCTCCTGTACTATGTCCGCAGTCTCTGGTCATCTCCTGTACTGTGTCTGCAGTCTCTGGTCATCCCCTGTACTGTGTCCGCAGTCTCTGGTCATCTCCTGTACTATGTCTGCAGTCTCTGGTCATCTCCTGTACTGTCCGCAGTCTCTGGTCATCTCCTGTACTGTCCGCAGTCTCTGGTCATCCCCTGTACTATGTCCGCAGTCTCTGGTCATCTCCTGTACTGTGTCCGCAGTCTCTGGTCATCTCCTGTACTGTGTCTGCAGTCTCTGGTCATCTCCTGTACTGTCCGCAGTCTCTGGTCATCGCCTGTATTATGTCCGCAGTCTCTGGGGGGGGGGGGGGGGGTATGCGCGCCCCCGTTAATGGAGGAAGCCAGTATATATGCCAGAAGTGGGAACTTTCATAACTGGATTGGTATAGCAGGCAGTCGATTTTATTACAAATAACACACAGGACGAAGGATGAACACAACATTTGCTGATCCCGGAGTTCTGCCTTAACCAGCTGTTTATAATGAAACCTTCCATTGAAGGTGCTGCGTTTTCGTCACTTGCGGCACTACAGAAAGTCGCCGTTTGGTGGTTTATAAACAAGTGCGTCAGGCAGGACACGTACTCACTTCAGAATCATGTTCATGGTCTCGTTGCGATCTTTTCCTTGGAAGGGGAGCGTTCCCGTCAGCATTTCAAACTGAAAGACACAAATTAACAAATTAAGTTTTTTTGTGCAGCGGGAGTGAAGGGATTTTTTTTTTCTGGGTTGCTATGGCGATCGGTGAGGTAAGCATGTCACTTTGTAAAATAAACATTTCAAAATCATCGGAGGAAAAGAGGATTATGTAACGGGAGAGAATATAAAACGCTAATAGCTGAGCAATTAGTCAGGATCCGGTGAAGTGAGCCACTTACCGGAGACGGGGGAGGGGTGATGGACTGGGGAAGGAATGACAAAGTGAGGCTTAATGCAGCAACACGTCAGTTGGGACTTTACAGGGATGACTGCGGTAATCTGGGGGCCGGCATCTACCGATAGGGCCCCAAACTGGTCCTGTGACCACCACCCTGTCCATGGGGACATTTATTGTCTGAAACCACCAGCTGAGTCTGAACACCAAAAACCTCTCTACAAAAGACAACTCTGCCATTCCAAGAGAGGTCTACAGTGAAGGAAATGCGTATTTGCTCCCCTGCTGATGCTGAATGTTCGCCCCTCACACAGAAATGATCGGTCTAACAATGGAATGTTCGCCCCTCACACAGAAATGATCGGTCTAACAATGGAATGTTCGCCCCTCACACAGAAATGATCGGTCTAACAATGGAATGTTCGCCCCTCACACAGAAATGATCGGTCTAACAATGGAATGTTCGCCCCTCACACAGAAATGATCGGTCTAACAATGGAATGTTCGCCCCTCACACAGAAACGATCGGTCTAACAATGGAATGTTCGCCCCTCACACAGAAACGATCGGTCTAACAATGGAATGTTCGGTGTAACACTGAGAGACAGAATACAACAACAAATTCAGCAGAAATGCGTCTAACAAATGATGACGGATCTGCATGTTCATGAGGGAAAGAAGGATTTGATCCCCTTCACAAAACATGACTTAGTACTTGGTGGCCAATCCCTTGTTGGCCATCACAGAGGTCAGACGTTTCCTGGAGTTGGCCCCCAGGTTCACACATATCTCAGGAGGAGGGATTTTGGCCCACTCCTCTTGGCAGATCCTCTCCAAGTCATTAAGGTTTGGTGGCTGACATTTGGCTACTCGAACTTTCAGCTCCTACACAGATTTTCAATCGGATGAAGGTCTGGAGACTGGCTAGGCCACTCCAGGACCTTAATGTGCTTCTTCTTGAGCCGCTCCTTTGTTGCCTTGGCCGTGTGTTTTGGGTCATTGTCATGCTGGAACACCCATCCACCACCCATTTTCAATGCCCTGGCTGAGGGAAGAAGGTTCTCACCCAAGATTTGATGGTACATTACCCCGTCCATGGTCCCTTTGATGCGGTGCAGTTGTCCTGTCCCCTTAGCAGAAAAACACCCCCAAAGCAGAATGTTTCCACCACCATGTTTCGCAGTTGGGATGGTGTTCTTGGGGTCATAGGCAGCATTCCTCCTCCTCCTCCAAACACGGCGAGTTGAGTTGATGCCAAAGAGCTGGATTTTGGTCTCCTCTGACCACAACACTTCCCACCAGTCCTCCTCTGCATCATTCAGATGTTCAGTGGCAGACTTCAGACAGGCCTGGACATGTGCTTTCTGGAGCAGAGGGACCGTGCGGGCACTGCAGGATTTCAGTCCTTGTCGGCGTAGTGTGTGTTACCAATTGTTTTCTTGGTGACTGTGGTCCCAGCTGCCTGGAGATCATTGACAAGATCCTCACATGTAGTTCTGGGATGATTCCTCACTGTTCTCATGATCATTGACACTCCACGAGGTGAGATCTTGCATGGTGCACCAGACCTAGGGAGACTGACACTTGTTTTGTGTTTCTTCCATTTGTGAATGATTGCACCAACTGTTGTCACCTTCTCACCAAGCTGCTTGGCCATAGTTTGGTAGCCCAGTCCAGCCTTGTGTAGGTCTACCATCTTGTCCCTGACATCCTTGGACAGCTCTTTGGTCTTTGCCATGGTGGAGAGTTTGGAATCTGATGGTTTGATGGCTCCTGTGGACAGGTGTCTTTTATACAGGTAACACAATGAGATTAGCAGCACTCCCTTTAAGAGACTGCTTCTAATCTCAGCTTGTTACCTGTATGAGAGACACCTGGGAGCCAGAAATCCTGCTGAATGATAGGGGATCAAATCCTTCTTTCCCTCATGAACATGCAGATCCGTCATCATTTGTTAGATGCATTTCTGCTGAATTTGTTGTTGTATTCTGTCTCTCAGTGTTACACCGAACATTCCATTGTTAGACCGATCATTTCTGTGTGAGGGGCGAACATTCCATTGTTAGACCGATCATTTCTGTGTGAGGGGCGAACATTCAGCATCATCCGGGGAGCAAATACACATTTCCTGCACTGTATGCTACAGGAGAGAGCTGCCTCATTCCAAGAGAGTGCTATGTTATCTACAGACATGTTGCCTGATATCGCACAGCTCTGGAAGGCAGTGATCTGCTCGGAATGTTGTTTCCTAGGTGTCGGTGCAGTGAAAACACAAGAGACTGCACACAGTGTGAACGAGTCCTCGATGGGAAGAGGGACTGAAGTGCAGCAAAACACAAGTCCTCTATTTCCTCCATCACTATCCACAGCACAGCGCCCTTTCCTGCATCCAATGGAATTTAGTTTCAGGGTCAACGTACCATAAGGACACCGAACGACCACCAATCGGCACTTTGAGTGTGACCTCGCCTGTTCACCACTTCTGGCGCCATATACTCCACCGTACCGCAGAACGAGTACGCCTTCTTTTCATGGTCCACAGACTCCTTACTCAGCCCAAAATCTGCAAGACAGAAGTACACCGAGATGATTGGCTCCAATTATTTCATACAGGACCATAAAGGGTGCAATCATCGATGGAAAAATCACATCGCTCAAAGATCTGGAAAACGAACATTTCCACAAAAAAAAAGTTCATCTGGTTGTCATTGCAATCTTTACTTCACTGCTAATGGAGATGGCTAACAACAATGCCCGATCTATACCAATGCTGTGGGTTGTTATTGTGGTCACTGGTACCGATGTTGGGGGTTGTTATTGTGGTCACTGGTACCGATGTTGGGGGTTGTTATTGCGGTCACTGGTACCAATGCTGGGGGTTGTTATTGCGGTCACTGGTACCAAAGCTGGGGGTTGTTATTGTGGTAACTGGTTCCACTGCTGGGGGTTATTATTGTGGTCATTGGTACCAATTCTGGGGGTTATTATTGTGGTCATTGGTAGCAATTCTGGGGGTTATTATTGTGGTCACTGGTACCAATTCTGGGGGTTATTATTGTGGTCCCTGGTACCAACACTGGGGGTTATTATTGTGGTCACTGGTACCAATTCTGGGGGTTATTATTGTGGTCACTGGTACCAATTCTGGGGGTTATTATTGTGGTCATTGGTACCAATGCTGGGGGTCATTATTGTGGAAACCGGTACCAATGCTCAGGGGTTTTTATTGTGGTGACTGACACCTATGCTGGGATTAAATACTACAGTCACTGGTACCAATGCTGAGGGTTATCACTGTGGTCACAGGCACCTACAGTTGCAAGAAAAAGTATGTGAACCCCTTGGAATTACGTGGAGTTTTGCATGAATTGGGCATAAAATGTGCTCTAAACGTCATCTAAGTCACAACAATAGAAGAACACAGTCTGCTGAACATAATACTACACAAACATTAGATGTTGCCATGGTTTAATTGCACATAACATGTAAATATTCACAGTGCAGGGAGGAAAAAGTATGTGAACCTTGGGACTTAATAACTGGTTGACCCTCCTTTGGCAGCAATAACCTCAACCAAACGTTTCCTGTAGTTGCAGATCAGACCTGCACAACGATCTGGAGTCATTTTGGACCACTCGTCTTCACAAAACTGTTTCAGTGTAGCAATATTCTTGGGATGTCTGGTGTGAATCGCTCTCTTAAGGTCATGCCACAGCATTTCAATGGGGTTGAGGTCAGGACTCTGACTGGGCCACTCCAGAAGGTGTATTCTGTGCTGTTGCAGCCATTGTTTTGTTGAATGACTTGTATGCTTTGGGTCATTGTCCTGTTGCATCACCCATCCTCTGCGGAGCTTCAGTTGGCGGACAGATGGTGGTCGTACGTTTTCCTGCAAAATGTCTTGATAAACTCTGGAATTCATTTTCCCATCAATGACAACAATCCGTCCAGGCCCTGAGGCAGCAAAGCAGCCCCAAACCTTGATGCTCCCCCCGCCATGTTTCACAGTGGGGATGAGGTTTGATGTTGGTGTGCTGGGCCTTTTTTTCTCCACACATAGTGTTGTGTGTTCTTCCCAAACAACTCAATCTTGGTTTCATCTGTCCACAGTATATTCTGCCAGTAGTGCTGTGGAACATCCAGGTGCTCTTTTGCAAACTTCAAACGTGCTGCAATCTTCTTTTTGGACAGCAATGGCTTCCTCCATGGTGTCCTCCCATGTACTCCATTCTTGTTTAATGTTTTCCTTATTGTAGATGTGTCAACAAAAATGTTAGCACGTGCCAGAGATTTCTGTAGGTGTTTAGCTGACACTCTGGGATTCTTCTTTACCTCATGCAGCATTCTGCGCTGTGCTCTTGCAGTCATTTTTACAGGACGACCGCGCCTAGGGAGAGTAGCAACAGTGCTAAACTTTCTCCATTTGTAGACAGTCTGTCTTACCGTGGACACATGAACATCAAGGCTTTTGGAGATACTTTTGTAACCCTTTCCAGCTTCATGCAAGTCAACAATTCTTGATCGTAGGTCTTCTGAGAGCTCTTTTCTGCGAGGCATGGTTCACATCAGGCAGTGCTTCTTGAAACCAGTAAACCCAAAACAGGTGTGTGTTTTTTAAGGGCAGGACAGCTGTCAGCAACACATCCAATATCATCACACTGATTGGAGGCAAGGTTAGCTCACTCCTGGCTCCAATTAGCTCTGGGAGAAGTCATTAAGCTAGGGCCTCACATACTTTTTTCCTCCCTGCACTGTGAATGTTTACATGTTATATGCAATTAAACCATGGCAACATCTAATGTTTGTGTAGTATTATGTTCAGCAGACTGTGTTCTTCTATTGTTGTGACTTAGATGACGTTCAGAGCACATTTTATGCCCAATTCATGCAAAACTCCAAGTAATCCCAAGGGGTTCACATACTTTTTCTTGCAACTGTATGTTGGGGTTTGTTATTGTGGTCACTGGTACCAATGCTGGGGGTTATTATTGTGGTCACTGGTACCAATGCTGGGGGTTATTATTGTGGTCACTGGTACCAATTCTGGGGGTTATTATTGTGGTCACTGGTACCAATTCTGGGGGTTATTATTGTGGTCATTGGTACCAATGCTGGGGGTCATTATTGTGGAAACCGGTACCAATCCTCAGGGGTTTTTATTGTGGTGACTGACACCTATGCTGGGATTAAATACTACAGTCACTGGTACCAATGCTGAGGGTTATCACTGTGGTCACAGCCACCTATGTTGGGGTTTGTTATTGTGGTCACTGATACCAATGCTGGGGGTTATTATTGTGGTCACTGATACCAATGGTGGGGGTTATTATTGTGATCACTGGTACCAATGCTGGGGGTTATTATTGTGGCCACTGATACCAATGCTGCGAGTTATTATTGTGGTCACTGATACCAATGCTGGGAGTTATTATTGTGGTCACTGATACCAATGCTGCGAGTTATTATTGTGGTCACTGATACCAATGCTGGGGGTTATTATTGTGGTCACTGATACCAATGCTTGTTATTATGAGAAAAATATTAAAAATATTTTCACAGATTTATTGGTCACAAATGTTGGAAACCATTTATCATTTTCCTTCCACTTCACAAATATGTGCCACTTTGTGTCAGTCTATCACATCCAATCCCAATAAAATACATTGTAACAAAACAACATGGGGGGGGATACATTGTAACATGACAACATGGGGGGCATTTCAAGGGGGTATGAAGACTTTTTCAAGGAACTGTACATACAGTTCAGGGTCTGTAACACAAGGGCCTACCTACCTGTTAACTTGATATGTCCGGCTTCGTCAAGCAAAATGCTGAAAATTAAAACAAATATACAATCATCAGTCCACATGTGGCAACATTAACTTCATCCTAACAAAAACAAAATATCAGGGGAAGGGAGCAGAGGGCCAGGCAAGACAGCAATATGGGGTACAGAGTGAGCAGACAAGCAGAACTATGTACTATCCTGAATACTGGAGAGGGTAGGCTGACAACTACAGTACCTCCCAGAAGTGAGTCCCCCCCTCCCCGGACTGTATACAATGTGTATATATATATATATATATATATATATATATATATATATATACACACACACAGTATCTCCCAGAAGTGAGTTCACCCCTCACATTTGTGTCAATAATTGGTTCTATCTTTTCATGTGACAACACTGAAGAAATGACACGTTGCTACAATGTGACGTAGTCAGTGTACAGTTTGTACAACATGGAAATTTGCTGTCCCCTCAAAATAACTCAACACACAGCCATTAATGTCTAACCCGCCGGCAACAAAAGTGACTCCACCCCTAAGTGACAAGGTCCAAATTGGGCCCAAAGTGTCAATATTTTGTGTGGCCGCCATTATTTTCCAGCACCGCCTTCACCCTCTTGGGCATGGAGGTCACCAGAGCTTCACAGGTTGCCCCTGGAGTCCTCTTCCACTCCTCCATGATGTCATCACGGAGCTGGTGGATGTTAGAGACCTTGCGCTCCTCCACCTTTCACTGCTCCATGACGTCATCACGGAGCTGGTGGATGTTAGAGACCTTGCGCTCCTCCACCTTCCATTTGAGGACACCCCACAGATGCTCAATAGGGTTCAGGTCTGGAGACATGCTTGGCCAGTCCATCACCTTCACCCTCAGCTTCTGTAGTAAGGCAGTGGTGGTCTTGGAGGTGTTTGGGGTCGTTATGTTGGAATACTGCCCTGCGGCCCAGTCTCCGGGGGGAGGGGATCATGCTCTGCTTCAGTATGTCACAGTACATGTTGGCATTCATGGTTCCCTCAATGAACTGTAGCCCCCCAGTGCCGGCAGCACTCATGCAGCTCCAGACCATGACACTCCCACCACCATGGGGCCCCAGACCATGACACCCCCAGACCATGACACCCCCACCACCATGGGGCCCCAGACCATGACACTCCCACCACCATGGGTCCCCAGACCATGACACCCCCACCACCATGGGGCCCCAGACCATGACACTCCCACCACCAGGCTTGACTGTAGGCAAGACACACTTGTCTTTGTACTCCTCACCTGGTTGCCGCCACACACGCCTGACACCATCTGAACCCAATCAGTTGATGTTGGTGTCATCAGACCACAGGAGACGGTTCCAGTAATCCATGTCCTCAGTCTGGTTGTCTTCAGCAAACTGTTTGCGGGATTTCTTGGTCATCATCTTTAGAAGAGGCTTCCTTCTGGGACGCAGCCATGCAGACCAATGTGATGCAGTGTGCGGCGTATTGTCTGAGCACTGACAGGCTGACCCCCCCCTACACCCTCTGCAGCAATGCTGGCCCCACTGACAGGCTGACCCCCCACCCCTTCACCCTCTGCAGCAATGCTGGCCCCACTGACAGGCTGACCCCCCACCCCTTCACCCTCTGCAGCAATGCTGGCCCCACTGACAGGCTGACCCCCCACCCCTTCACCCTCTGCAGCAATGCTGGCACCACTGACAGGCTGACCCCCCCACCCCCACACCCTCTCTGCAGCAATGCTGGCAGCACTCATACGTCTATTTCCCAAAGACAACCTCTGGATATGACGCTGAGCACGTGGACTAAACTTCCTTGGTGGACCATGGCGAGGCCTGTTCTGAGAGGAACCCGTCCTGTTACACCGCTGTATGGTCTTGGCCACCGTGCTGCAGCTCAGTTTCAGGGTCTCAGCAATCTTCTTATAGCCTCAGCCATCTTTATGTAGAGCAACAATTCTTTTTTTCAGATCCTCAGAGAGTTCTTTGCCATGAGGTGCCATGTTGAACTTCCAGTGACCAGTATGAGAGAGTGAGAGCGATAACACCAAATGTAAGCCCCCCCCCCGCTCCCCATTCACACCTGAGACCTTGTGACACTAACGAGTCACATGACACCGGGGAGGGAAAATGGCTGATTGGCTCCAATGTGGACCTTGTCACTTAGGGGTGGAGTCACTTTTGTTGCCAGCGGTTTAGATATGAATGGCGGTGTGTTGTTGACACAAATATGAGGGGGGGAACTGACTTCTGGGAGATACTGTGTATATGATAAATACATATGACAACCTATCCCAAGTATCAGAGTCTGCAGGTCATGTGAGCAGCTCCGTATCTTCTCATTCCTGAGTAAAAGTTGGTAGTTGGTTATGTAAATGGGGGCAGGATTAGTAGAGAAGGCAGTTCAAAGAGAATAATTGAGGACAAACACCAATCAGCCATAACATTATGACCACTGACAGGTAAAGGGAATAACATTGACTATCTGGTTACAATGGCATCTGAAAGTGGGCGGGATATTTTAGGCAGCAAGTGAACATGTTGTCCCTGAAGTTGATGAAAGCAGAAAAAAAATGGACAAGTGTAAAGATCTGAGGGACTTTGACAAGGACCAAATTGTACTGTCTAGACGACTGGGTCAGAGCAACTCCAAACCTGCAGCTCTTGTGGGATGTTCCCGGTCTGCAGTGGTCAGGACCCGACCAAAAGTGGTCTAATAAAGGAGAACCGGCCAACCGGTGACAGGGTTATGGACGGCCAAGGCTCACTGATGGGAGGAGGGGAGGGAAGTCTCATTGATGGAGGGGCTCAATGATGGAGGTAGGGAGGGAAGACTCATTGATAGAAATTAGGGGGGGGGGGCTCATTGATGTAGTTGGAGGGGGAGAAGGCTGGCTCATTGATGGGGGTGACAGGGGGAGCTCACTGATGGGAGTGGGGAGGGAAGGCTCATTGATGGCAGTGGGAAGGCTCATTGATGGAGGTGGGGAGGGAAGGCTCACTGATGGAGGTGGGGAGGGAAGGCTCATTGATGGAGGTGGGGAGGGAAGGCTCATTGATGGAGGTGGGGAGGGAAGGCTCATTGATGGAGGTGAGGAGGGAAGGCTCATTGATGGAGGTGGGAGAGGAAGGCTCACTGATGGAGGTGGGAGAGGAAGGCTCATTGATGGAGGTGGGAAAGGAAGGCTCATGATGGAGGTGGGGAGAGAGAAGGCTCATTTATGGAGGTGGGGAGGGAAGGCTCATTGATGGAGGTGCGGAGGGAAGGCTCACTGATGGAGGTGGGGAGGGAAGGCTCATTGATGGAGGTGGAAGGGATGGCTCATTGATGGAGGTGGGAGGGAAGGCTCATTGATGGAGGTGGGAGGGAAGGCTCATTGATGAAGGTGGGAGTGATGGCTCATTGATGGAGGTGGGAAGGGATGGCTCATTGATGGAGGTGGGGGGGAAGGCTGGACCATGTAGGTGTCCGAACACACAGAGCATCGCAGTTTGTTGTGTACGGGGCTGTGTAGCCGCAGACTGGTCAAGGTGTCCATGCTGACCCGTGTCCACAGCCAATAGCGCCTATAATGGGCACAGGAGCATTATTCCTGGACCACGGAGCAATGGAAGGTGGCCTGGTCTGGTGAATGGTGTTCTTTTTGCATCATGTGCATGGCGGGGTGGATGGAGTTTGGGAAGAAGACAAGCTGGTGGAGGAAGTGAGATGCTCTAAGCAATGTTCTGCAGAGAAACCTCGGCTCCTGTCATTTATGTGGATGTTACTTACAACGTACCACCTACCTAAATATCGTTAGTGACCAAGATTACCCCTTCGTGGAAATGGTATAGCCTGATGGCAGTGGCCTCTTTCAGCACACTGCAAAAATGGTTGAAGGATGGGTCGAGGAACACAACAACGAGTTTGAGGTGATGACTTGTCCTCCAAACTCTCCAGATCTCAATCCAATTGAGCACCTGTGAGATGTGCTGGAAAAACAAGTCCAATCCACGAAGGCTCCACCCCAAAACTTACAGGACTTAAAGGATCTGCTACTGACCGCTTGGCGCCAGAGACCACAGTGTACCTTCACAGGTCTGGTGGAGTCCATGCTTGGGCAGGTCAAGGCTGTTTTGGTGGCACCTACTCAATATTAGGTGGGTGGTCATAATGTGATAGCTGATCGGTGTAAATACGGGAGCTACTAATACTGGTGAGATGTTCCCCAGACCATATCTGTACCTGAGGGCACAAACTACACATCGAGCTGTCAGACAACATTGGGACATATCGGGAATATCAGGGAATTTTACTCATCAGATGGAAATGAAACGAGCTGATGGATTTTTACTTTACTTTTCAGGCTTCAGGTCCCGGTAGACGATGCCCAGGCTGTGCAAATGGTCCAAGGCCAGTGCCAGTTCTGCCAGGTAGAATTTCACATCCTCCTCTGTAAACATAACCTGATAAGAACTGTATAGATTTACTTCATGTTCTATCATTGAACTCACAACACACCAACAGACATCCCCCATCGTACAGACAAGACCGATTTCCGGCCAGCATCATCTGCTTCCCACTAACCAGGCCTGAAGAGCGGAGATCGAAGATGATGGAAGAGGCAGATTGTGCCCTGCGGGACTTCATCTACAGAGGATTCTTCTCCCCCCCCCATCCAGCTTACTGGTGGTCAAACACACAACCAATCACAGCCACTGGGCCTGAACTGCAGAGGAGATCTGTGAGGGATTAACCCCTCTGCTAACAATTGTGCCATCTGTAGGACCCGGGATGAACATTTTAAACGAGGGCGCCTTGGCAAAGAGGAGTCTGGAGGCAAGTGACTCCAATCTTCGGAGCTTCACCGGTCCGAGAATCTTCACTGGTCCGGGAATCTTCACCACCCTCTACAACGGCTCCAAAGGAGGAGCGAGGAACCGCTCACCATACTGCGAGCCTCAGAACTGAATCATCCAACACAGAGGATACTCCAGCCCATGTACGCGTCTCACTTGGTCAGGAGATGACTCCATCCCATGTACTGAGCTTCAGATGCGTTTCACTTGGTCAAGAGATGACTCCATCCCATGTACTGAGCTTCAGACGCGTTTCACTAGGTCAGGAGATTACTCCATCCCATGTACTGAGCTTCAGACGCGTTTCACTTGGTCAGGAGATTACTCCATCCTACGTACTGAGCTTCAGACGCGTCTCACTTGGTCAGGAGATTACTCCATTCCACGTACTGAGTCACTGACGTGTTTCACTTGGTCAGGAGATCACTCCATCCCACGTACTGAGCTTCGGACGCATTTCACTTGGTCAGGAGATTACTCCATCCCATGTACTGAGCTTCAAACGCGTCTCACTTGGTAAGGAGATTACTCCATCCTACGTACTGAGCTTCAGACGCGTTTCACTTGGTCAGATTACTCCATTCCACGTACTGAGCCACTGACGTGTTTCACTTGGTCAGGAGATCACTCCATTCCACGTACTGAGTCACTGACGTGTTTCACTTGGTCAGGAGATTACTCCATCCCACGTACTGAGTCACTGACGTGTTTCACTTGGTCAGGAGATGACTCCATCCCACGTACTGTGTCACTGACGTGTTTCACTTGGTCAGGAGATGACTCCATCCCACGTACTGAGCTTCGGACGCATTTCACTTGGTCAGGAGATCACTCCATCCCATGTAATGAGCTTCACATGCGTTTTACTTGGTCAGGAGATGACTCCATCCCACGTACTGAGCGACTGATGCGTTTCACTTGCTCAGGAGATGACTCCATCCCACGTACTGAGCGACTGATGCGTTTCACTTGGTCAGGAGATGACTCCATCCCACGTACTGAGCGACTGATGCGTTTCACTTGGTCAGGAGATGACTCCATCCCACGTACTGAGCGACTGATGCGTTTCACTTGGTCAGGAGATGACTCCATCCCACGTACTGAGCTTCAGATGCATTTTACTTGGTCAGAAGATTACTCCATCCCATGTACTGAGCCTCAGACGTGTTTCACTTGGTCAGGAGATTACTCCATCCCACGTACTGAGTGGCTGACGCGTTTCACTTGGTCAGGAGATTACTCCATCCCATGTACTGAGCCTCAGACGTGTTTCACTTGGTCAGGAGATTACTCCATCCCACGTACTGTGTGGCTGACGCGTTTCACTTGGTCAGGAGATGACTCCATCCCATGTACTGAGCCTCAGACGTGTTTCACTTGGTCAGGAGATGACTCCATCCCACGTACTGAGCCTGTAATGCGTTTCACTTGGTCAGGAGATGACTTCATCCCACGTACTGAGCATCTGACGCGTTTCACTTGGTCAGGAGATTACTCCATCCCACGTACTGAGCAGTTGATTACTCCATCCCACGTACTGAGCCTCTAATACATTTCACTTGGTCAGGAGATTACTTCATCCCACGTACTGAGCCTATGACGCGTTTCACTTGGTCAGGAGATTACTCCATCCGTGTAAAATATCGATGGGGGGGGGTCTTCACTCATTTATATAATACATATAACATTTATGAAGAAATTAATTTTTTTAACTTTTTTTTTATTAAATGTTTCATAGCAGAAAGTAAAACATATTGGGGATTTTTTTTTTGTCTTCTTTCATTTATATAATAAAAATAAAATTTATGAAGAAATTTAATTTTTTTAATTTTTTTTTGTTTTTATTGGATGTTTCATAGCAGAAAGTAAAAAATATTGTGTTTTTTTTGGTCTTCTTTCATTTATTGAATTAAAAAAAAAACAGTGGTTATCAAATACCTCTAAAAATGCCTCTCGAAACCAAATACAGGCTGAAATATGCGGCGGCTGTACGTGGCTGGTATACGCCGTATACACTCAGACACCTATGTCATATCTTCTGTTACTGAGCCCCTAACGAGGGCGGTCTGAAAAGCTCACATCCCGCCACGGAAGGGGTGACCACACAGACATGGGACTCCATCACTGCGTCGGGCCGCTCTTCCCACAGATCAGCGCTGAATGCTGAGGCGAGCTAGAAGGCTTCCATGCGCTCTCTCCGGCCGCCATCACTTGGCCTTCGTCCTCCACTTTGTCCGTTTTCAACTTGATTATGGAGGGGGGCAGCGGTTTGAAAACAGCGTGAAAACCGTATAGCGTGCGTGCGCCATTGTCAGCGCCGATCTATGGGAAGAGTAGCCTGATGACGGCGGTGATAACGTTTCACGTCTGTGTGGTCGATTCTTCTGTGACTGCCCACGTATGGCCCTGAAATGGAACGCTGCTCGGAATGTCACCATGGAGGTCGGCCTGTCATGTGTTGCACCCGTGCCTCCCTGCGTCCGACAACGCCGGCTCTGCACGCTGTGTGGAGGACGGAGAATCCTCCTCCAGATCTGACTGAATCACATCATATTGCCTCTACAGAGGAGCGCTGGCTGTGGGCGTCAGAAGATGTTCCAGGCATGAGAGCCCAACATTAACTGTGAAGTATGAGACGGCAAACCCAGCAGAACGGGAAGGCCATTACCTAGGGATAGGAAAAGAGGGGACAGAGATGGGGCCGTTACCGGGGACAGGATGGGGGCCGTTACCGGGGACAGGATGGGGGCCGTTACCGGGGACAGGAGGGAGGCCGTTACCGGGGACAGAGATGGGGGCCGTTACCGGGGACAGAGATGGGGGCCGTTACCGGGGACAGGATGGGGGCCGTTACCAGGGACAGGAGGGAGGCCGTTACCAGGGACAGGAGGGAGGCCGTTACCAGGGACAGGAGGGAGGCCGTTACCAGGGACAGGACGGAGGCCGTTACCAGGGACAGGACGGAGACTGTTACCAGGGACAGGACAGGGGCCATTACCAAGGAAAGTTCAGGAGCCGTTACCAAGGAGAGGACGGGAGCCGTTACCAAGGAGAGGACGGGAGCCGTTACCAGGGACAGGATGGGGGCCGTTACCAGGGACAGGATGGGGGCCGTTACCAGGGACAGGATGGGGGCCGTTACCAGGGACAGGATGGGGGCCGTTACCAGGGACAGGATGGGGGCCGTTACCAGGGACAGGATGGGGGAACCTTTGGACAGCAGCACTGGGAGTGTTAGATGTACTAGCAGATTTAGATGCACTAACAAATGGCAGCCACACTGCATGATCAGGACAAAATGTGTAATCTGTTACAGCAAACATTTCTTTTTCTTTTTAGATAGTTTTATGTAAATAAAAAAAAAAAAAAAGCTGATCATTGTAAGCACCCGTCAGCGGTAAATGGTTTCTAACTGCTACATCTGCTGGACAGCTTTTCATCACTGCTTTTCCTTTATACTAAGGTCTGAAGTTCTGAGTACAATCCTCTAAAGAACACTGACTGCGCACCGCAACTCCCAGGAAGCTAAAAACCGATCATTATTCCGGCCCGACACCGGGCCCCGGCCCAACGCTGGAGTCCGGCACAACAGAGGACTCCGGCCTGACACCGGAACCCCGGCATGACACAGGACCCCGGCCCCGACACAGGACCCCGGCCCCGACACAGGACCCCGGCCCGACACTTGGAACACACTAGATGATACTGGGGTACACAGGAGGACACTTGGAACACACTAGATCAGGGGTGGGCAACTGTGGCCCTCCAGCTGTTGTAGAACTACAAGTCCCATGAGGCATTGCAAAACTGACAGTTACAAGCATGACTCCCAAAGGCAGAGGCATGATGGGACTTGTAGTTCACCAACAGCTGGAGGGCCACAGTTGCCCACCCCTGGCCTAGGCAATCGGACCGGATGTGGGAAAGGGTACCTGGCAAATTCGGGTACCCGCTCCCCCCCCCCCCCCCCCCCCTTCCAGTCCGGACACTTTCCCCCCCTTCCAGTCCGGACACTTTCACCCCCCCCTTCCAGTCCGGACACTTTCACCCCCTTCCAGTCCGGACACTTTCACCCCCTTCCAGTCCGGACACTTTCACCCCCTTCCAGTCCGGACACTTTCCCCCCCTTCCAGTCCGGACACTTTCACCCCCTTCCAGTCCGGACACTTTCACCCCCTTCCAGTCCGGACACTTTCACCCCCTTCCAGTCCAAACACTTTCACCCCCTTCCAGTCCGGACACTTTCACCCCCTTCCAGTCCGGACACTTCCCCCCCCTTCCATTCCGGACACTTCCCCCCTTCCCCCCCCCCAGGCCAATTTTCAGCTTTCAGCGCTATCACACTTTGAATGACAATTGCGCGGTCATGCAACACTGTACCCATATTAATTTTTTTGCATTTTTTTGAGACAGATAAAACTTTATTTTGGTGGTATTTATTCACCGCTGGGAGTTTTATTTTTTTTGCTATGTAAATGAAAATGTCTAAAAAGTTTGAAAAAAAGTGTTTTTCTTATAAAATTTTGCAAATAAATAATATTTCATCATAAATCTCGGCCAAAATTTATTCCGTTATCTTTTTAGTAAAAAAAAATAAATAAGCCAAAATAGTTTATAACCAAAAATTATAATTTTTAAACTTTTTTTTTTACATTTTTATATTATTTATTTTATTTTATTTTTTTTTTTTTACATACTGTCACCCTAGCAGTAGTGTCACCATGGTGACACTGTACTACTTTTGGGGGGTGACGATTTTTTTTTTTTTTTTTTTTTTTACACTGATTGCTTTGACACCCATAAAGGCTGTAAAAGCAATCATTTCTCTTTCTCTCTGTCTGCATTCTTGCAGCCATTGAGAAATACTCAGTGAGCTGTGATTGGTCACAGCTTGTCACATGGTACAAGGCTGTTGTGAATGGCCCTGTACCATGTGACCTCTGTGATCATTCACAGATTTCAGACGTAGTAAGCCACAATGTCAGAAGTGACATCTTGCTTACTACTTTGCATGTGATCACTGATTGGCCAATCAGTGATCACATGATCGGGACCTCGTACAGAGGCTCCATCGACGATCGGCGTTTCACTGTGTCCGGAGGACACAGCGGGCACCGAATCGCGGTGCTGCGCGCTCTCGGGGAGCGCGCACAAGCAGGGTGAGAAGAGGCCGTTTATAAACGGCCACCCGACCCTGCAGTGCCCACCGTCCGGCCGTTTATATACAACGGCCAGTCGGGAAGTGGTTTATGGGGCGTGGGGGAAGCAGTCCTTAAAGCGGAACGTCCCCTTTTGGGTGGGGCTTCGCTTTTCCCAGCATGTCTTTGGAGTGTAGGAGAAAACCCACACAGGCACAGGGAGAACGTGCCAACTCCAGGCAGGTGGTGCCGTGGTTGGGATTCAAACCAATGACCTGAGTACTGCCAGGTGGAAGTGCTGACCATTTAGCCACTTAGACGATGTATACTGGATATGGGACTGTTATTCGGTGCTGTTTTCGTTTTCAATGAAGCACTCCTGATTGCTGGGGGTGATAGTAGGTGGTAAAAGAAGACATGATCCAGAGGTGTATTGCATTTTTTTTTACACTTTTAGCTTTTTTTTGCATCTTCCATATATTTGCCTGAACGTGGAGCATTCTTATAATAAAATCCAGGAATTCAGGACATCCGCACATTGAAGGCTCGGAGTCCCCCCCCCCCCCCACCCAAGTCAGCAGTGCTCCCCCAGCGTGGATCCTGACCTTGGTGATCCGTATTCTGCTATAAATGATGTAAATCCCCCACAAGCCTCAGACTGCTGCCAGCACGGGGGGGGGGGGGGGGGGGGGGGGGGGGGGGGGGGGGGGCAGGGCCTGTCCCTGGAATGACGTCTGTGGCGCTGGGTACAGCTGGTGCTGTCTGGTGGCTCGCAGGCATGAAAAGGCGGATTCAGCGTCTGATCGCATCACACAGGAACGAGCCAAGACCGAAATACAGCACAAATCACAATGATTTAAAGGTCTCCTAGATTGTAAGCTCCCAGGATCAGCCCCTCCCTCTTAGATTGTAAGCTCCCAGGATCAGCCCCTCCCTCCTAGATTGTAAGCTCCCAGGATCAGCCCCTCCCTCCTAGATTGTAAGCTCCCAGGATCAGCCCCTCCCTCCTAGATTGCAAGCTCCCAGGATCAGCCCCTCCCTCCTAGATTGCAAGCTCCGAGGATCAGCCCCTCCCTCCTAGATTGTAAGCTCCCAGGATCAGCCCCTCCCCCTTAGATTGTAAGCTCCCAGGATCAGGGCCCTCCCTCCTAGATTGTAAGCTCCCAGGATCAGCCCCTCCCCCTTAGATTGTAAGCTCCCAGGATCAGCCCCTCCCCCTTAGATTGTAAACTCCCAGGATCAGCCCCTCCCTCCTAGATTGTAAGCTCCCAGGATCAGCCCCTCCCTCCTAGATTGCAAGCTCCCAGGATCAGCCCCTCCCTCCTAGATTGCAAGCTCCCAGGATCAGCCCCTCCCTCCTAGATTGTAAGCTCCCAGGATCAGCCCCTCCCCCTTAGATTGTAAGCTCCCAGGATCAGGGCCCTCCCTCCTAGATTGTAAGCTCCCAGGATCAGCCCCTCCCCCTTAGATTGTAAGCTCCCAGGATCAGGGCCCTCCCTCTTAGATTGTAAGCTCCCAGGATCAGCCCCTCCCCCTTAGATTGTAAGCTCCCAGGATCAGCCCCTCCCCCTTAGATTGTAAGCTCTCCCAGGATCAGGGCCCTCCTATCCCTCTTGTATTGATCTGTATTGTTGCTGTATTGTCTCCCGTTATATTGTACAGCGCTGAGCAAACTGTTGGCGCCACAAATCCTGTATAAAAATAATATTAATAATTGTCTTTTTTTGTTTTTGTTTTTTTTTTTTACTTTTTGTATTTACTTTATTATTACTTATTATTATTACTTATTTTTTTATATATTTTAAAACATATTTTACATCATGTATCTCAGATTTCAGGTTTGTATATTTTTTGTAAAAGAAAAACTAAATAGAGAGAATAATTTAAAGAAAATTGTCTTTTTAATACCTGTTTACATTTTCTATTTTTTAAACTTTTGTATTTTTTTTTTTTTTATACACTTTTTTAAATATTTTAGATGATGCATCTCATCACTTAATGCGCTTTTAACATTTGTCTTTTCCTATCCCTCTTGTATTGATCTGTATTGTTGCTGTATTGTCTCCCGTTATATTGTACAGCGCTGAGTACACTGTTGGCGCCATAAATCCTGAATAATAATAATAATTATTATAATAGAAGAGGGCTACAGTACCCTTCCCGGTATTACCCATTGATGGGGGGGGGGGGACATTACACCACTGAAAAGGGGCCAGGCTGGAGTCTACAGCTTGAATCCGATTGGCTGTTATGGGTCACATATCTCTGAACTAAATTGATTAAAGGGAAAATCTACTGATGTTTTATACTGGAGAGGTTTAACCCCTCGCCCCCCCAGAGGATTCACAATCCCCCCCCCTTCCCCAAGGCTACCTTCACACTGATCCACCGCAAAAACGCATATGCATTTGTACCGTGCTTTTGGGACGTTTAACCCTTTGCCTTCCAGAGGATTCACCCCCCCCTTTCCCCCCCCCCCGACCCCAGGCTACTTATTTTTTGCGCTATAAACAAAAAAAGACCAAAAATTTTGAGCAAAAAACAATATTTTTGACCTTTTGCTACAAAACATAACCAGTAAAAAAATTAAAAATTCAAATTTCGTCATAAATTTAGGCCAAAATGTCTCCCACTCCGTGTCTTTGCTAAATAAAATCCCGATACGTGTAAAACTAATTGGTTTATGTGAAAGGTATAGCGTCTACAAATGGCGGGATAGATACTGGGATTTTTCTTTTCTTTTTTACTAGTAATGGCGACAATCAGGCGACTTATGGCAAGACAGCGGGACTGCGGCGGGCATTCTGACACGGGGGGGGGGGGGGGGGGGGACTGATTTGGTGCCACTGACATCCCCAGTGACACCAATACAGTAATCAGTGCTAATATAAAGCCCCGACACTGTACTAATGGCACTGGGCAGGAAGGGGTTAACATCTGGGGAGATCAAAGGGTTAACTGTGTGCTGTGCTTTACTATATAGCACACTGCTTTGAATGGCTCTGAGCTATACAAAGCAGTGTGCTGGATTTTGACGGTCAGTGTCCCTCGGTGATCGCTGGGTGCCGAGGTCCGGACAGAGCGGATATAGTGAATGCGGGGTCCGGGGAGAGCGGATACAGTGAATGCGGGGTCCGGGGAGAGCGGATATAGGGAATGTGGGGTCCGGGGAGAGCGGATATAGTGAATGCGGGGTCCGTGGAGAGAGCAGATACAGTGAATGCGGGGTACGGGGAGAGCGGATACAGTGAATGCGGGGTCCAGGGAGAGCGGATATAGTGAATGCGGGGTCCGGAGAGAGCGGATATAGTGAATGCGGGGTCCGGGGAGAGCGGATACAGTGAATGCGGGGTCCGGGGAGAGCAGATATAGGGAATGCGGGGTCCGGGGAGAGCGGATAGTGTGAATGCGGGTTTCCGGGGAGACCGGATATAGTGAATGCGGGGTCCGGGGAGAGCGGATATAGTGAATGCGGGGTCCGGGGAGAGCGGATATAGTGAATGCGGGGTCCGGGGAGAGCGGATATAGTGAATGCGGGGTCCGGGGAGAGCGGATATAGTGAATGCGGGGTCCGGGGAGAGCGGATATAGTGAATGCGGGGTCCGGGGAGAGCGGATGTAGTGAATGCGGGGTCCAGGGAGAGCGGATATAGTGAATGCGGGGTCCGGGAGGGCAAAATGTAGTGAATGCGGGGTCCGGGAGAGCGGATATAGTGAATGCAGGGTCCGGGGAAAACGGATATAGGGAATGCGGGGTCCGGGGGAGAGCAGATATAGTGAATGCGGGGTCCGGGGAGAGCGGATATAGTGAATGCGGGGGTCCGGGGAGAGCGGATATAGTGAATGCGGGGTCCGGGAGAGCGGATATAGTGAATGCGGGGTCCGGGGAGAGCGGATATAGTGAATGCGGGGTCCGGGGAGAGCGGATATAGTGAATGCGGGGTCCGGGAGAGCGGATATAGTGAATGCGGGGTCCGGGGAGAGCAGATATAGGGATTGCGGGGTCCGGGGAGAGCAGATATAGGGATTGCGGGGTCCGGAGAGCGGATATAGTGAATGCGGGGTCCGGGGAGAGCGGATATAGTGAATGCGGGGTCCGGGAGAGAGCGGATATAGGGAATGTGGGATCCGGGAGAGCGGATATAGGGAATGCGGGATCCGGGGAGAGCGGATATAGTGAATGCGGGGTCCGGGGGAGAGCGGATATAGTGAATGCGGGGTCCGGGAGAGAGGATATAGTGAATGCGGGGGGTCCGGGGAGAGCGGATATAGTGAATGCGGGGTCCGGGGAGAGCGGGATATAGTGAATGCGGGGTCCGGGGAGAGAGCGGATATAGTGAATGCGGGGTCCGGGGAGAGCGGATATAGTGAATGCGGGGTCCGGGAAAGAGCGGATATAGTGAATGCGGGGTCCGGGGAGAGCGGATATAGTGAATGCGGGGTCCGGGGAGAGAGGATATAGTGAATGCGGGGTCCAGGTGTCCCATGATTAGGGGTCATTGGTAGGAATAGTGTCCCATGATTGGGGTCATTGGTAGAAATAGTGTCCCATGATTGGGGTCATTGGTAGGAATAGTGTCCCATGATTGGGGGTCATTGGCTGGAATAGTGTCCCATGATTGGGGGTCATTGGCTGGAATAGTGTCACATGACTGGGGTCATTGGGTAGGAATAGTATCTCATGATTGGGGGTCATTGGTAGGAATAGTGTCCCATGATTGGGGTCATTGGCTGGAATAGTGTCCCATGATTGGGGTCATTGGTAGGAAGAGTGTCCCATGATTGGGGGTCATTGGTAGGAATAGTGTCCCATGATTGGGGGTCATTGGCTGGAATAGTATCCCATGATTGGGGGCCATTGGCTGAAAGTGTCCCATGATTGGGCGTCATTGGCTGGAACAGTGTCCCACGATTGGGGGTCATTGGTAGGAATAGTGTCCCATGATTGGGGGTCATTGGCTGGAATAGTGTCCCATGATTGGGGGTCATTGGCTGGAATAGTTTCCCATGATTGGGGGGTCATTGGCTGGAATAGTGTCCCATGATTGGGGTCATTGGCTGGAATAGTGTCCCATGATTGGGGGTCATTGGCTGAATAGTGTCCCATGATTTGGGGGTCATTGGCTGGAATAGGTGTCCCATGAATGGGGGGGATCAGGTAGACAAAACCCTTGCAGTACTGGCATAGCATTTTTTTCTCTTTCCGGAGTTGGACTTTAAATATGGACAAGGACACCATTCCGGACATTTGCTGCGGGCCCCGAGACATACACATAAAATCAGAGACTTACCTCTTTGGATAAGCGTGTGAAGACGTCTCCTCCCCTGAGAAAATCCAGAATCAGGTATAATTTCCCTTCTGTCTGAAAGGCTGAAGGAACAAAAACAAAGAGAGACATAAACCGGATTGGTCTTCACTGGACTAAAGGGAAACACAAACACAAACGACCAATGAAATGAGGGATCAGCAGCCACTGTTCTGGCAAGTGACCCCCTTCCGGTCCGGGCACTTTCCCCCCTTCCGGTCCCGGGCACTTTCCCCCCTTCCGGTCCGGGCACTTTCCCCCCCTTCCGGTCCGGGGCACTTTCCCCCTTCCGGTCCGGGCACTTTCCCCCCCTTCCCGGTAACGGGCACTTTCCCCCCCTTTCCGATCCGGACACTTTCCCCCCTTCCGGTCCGGACACTTTCCCCCCTTCCGGTCCGGACACTTTCCCCCACCTTCCGGTCCGGACACTTTCCCCCCCTTCCGGTCCGGACACTTTCCCCCCCTTCCGGTCCGGACACTTTCCCTCCTCCTTCCGGTCCGGACACTTTCCCCCCCTTCCGGTCCGGACACTTTCCCCCCCTTCCGGTCCGGACACTTTCCCCCCCTTCCGGTCCGGACACTTTCCCCCCCTTCCGGTCCGGACACTTTCCCCCCCTTCCGGTCCCGGACACTTTCCCCCCCTTTCCTGTTCCGGACACTTTCCCCCCCTTCCGGTCCGGACACTTTCCCCCCACCCTTCCGGTCCGGACACTTTTCCCCCCCCCTCCGGTCCGGACACTTTCCCCCCCTTCCAGTCCGGACACTTTTTCCCCCCCTTCCAGTCCGGACACTTTCCCCCCCTTCCAGTCCGGACACTTTCCCCCCCTTTCCAGTCCGGACACTTTCACCCCCTTCCAGTCCGGACACTTTCACCCCTTCCAGTCCGGACACTTTCCCCCCTTCCAGTCCGGACACTTCCCCCCCTTCCAGTCCGGACACTTCCCCCCCCTTCCAGTCCGGACACTGCCCCCCCCCTTTCCAGTCCGGACACTCCCCCCCCCCCCCCCCCCCTTCCAGTCCGGACACTTCCCCCCCCCCCCCCCCCTTCCAGTCCGGACGCCTTTGCGTTCACAAGCATTTTTAAAAGATAACCTTAAGAGACCCTCCCAAATGCCCAGAATGCATTGAAAAATTGTAAATAATTAACTATTTCAGACATTTCAAAGAAATAGAGAGAGCAGAAGCAGAGAGAGCAGTATGTGCTGAGATGACCGGTCTTTTCTGGTTGTATTCACTATGGATCCCATCGTGCGCATAATGCGGCGCATTCTAACATTTGTTCCTTCACGCGAAACCTGGAACTGACTGCGCTGGTGTACATTTGAATATATGGAAAACGCTTTGCGTGAATTTCTGATGATGAAAAAGGCTCCAGACAGCATCTGGATATGGAACAGTTAAAAAAAACGCTTCTAAACGCAAACGCTTATAAATGCGGTTAACCGCGTTTACAAGCATTTAAAAACGGCGGTAAAATCTACTCCTGAACACAAGTTTGCTGCATTAAAAAAAACGAGTATATATATATATATATACACATATACAGTTGTGTTGAAAATACTAGCCGTCAGACATCACTAACCGGATCAATCGCTGTTTTTGGTGGAAATGATATTCCTACATGGCAGATAATTTCCTATCAGGTGTAGCAGAGTCATAGAAATCCAACAGATCAGCATGCTGCTGATTCTGTGTCATTGAATCACTCATTGAAAGGGGCGTGTTCACAATAATAGCCGTGTGGAGTTCTATTAGTGACGTCATTCATTCTTTGATAAACAGGTGGCAATGATTGCCCTTATTTAAGGAAGGAAGGCAGCAAATGTTGGACATGCTGGTTACAGTGCATTTCTCTTCCTCCATACTCGGGGTCCTTGTGCCTCTCCATTCTTCCTCCATACTCGGGGTCCTTGGGCCTCTCCATTCTTCCTCCATACTCGGGGTCCTTGGGCCTCTCCATTCTTCCTCCATACTCGGGGTCCTTGGGCCTCTCCATTCTTCCTCCATACTCGGTGTCCTTGGGCCTCTCCATTCTTCCTCCATACTCGGGGTCCTTGTGCCTCTCCATTCTTCCTCCATACTCGGTGTCCTTGGGCCTCTCCATTCTTCCTCCATACTCGGGGTCCTTGTGCCTCTCCATTCTTCCTCCATACTCGGGGTCCTTGGGCCTCTCCATTCTTCCTCCATACTCGGGGTCCTCGGTCCTCTCCATTCTTCCTCCATACTCGGGGTCCTTGGGCCTCTCCATTCTTCCTCCATACTCGGGGTCCTCGGGCCTCTCCATTCTTCCTCCATACTCGAGGTCCTCGGGCCTCTCCATTCTTCCTCCATACTCGGGGTCCTTGGGCCTCTCCATTCTCTTCCTCCATACTCGGGGTCCTTGGGCCTCTCCATTCTTCCTCCATACTTGGGGTCCTTGTGCCTCTCCATTCTTCCTCCATACTCGGGGTCCTTGGGCCTCTCCATTCTTCCTCCATACTCGGGGTCCTTGGGCCTCTCCATTCTTCCTCCATACTCGGGGTCCTTGGTTTCCAAATGAGATGCAAAAGTTGCTCTCATCAGAAAAGAGAACTTTGGACCACTGAGCAGCAGACCAGGTCTGTTTTCTTTTTAGCCCAGGTAAGACGCTTCTGACGTTGTTTGTTGTTCAGGAGCGGCTTGACAAGAGGAATACGACATTTGAAGCCCATGTCCAGGATCTGTCTGTGTGTGGTGGCTCTTGATGCACTGACTCCAGCCTCAGTCCACTCCTTGTGAAAGTCCCCAACACGTTTGAATGGCCTTTTCCTGACAATCCTCTCCAGTCTGTGGTCATCCCCTGCTGCTTGTGCACCTTTTTCTTCCACACTTTTCCCTTCCACATAACTTTCTATTAATGTGCTTTGATACAGCACTTTGGGAACATCCAACTTCTTCTGCAATTCCCTTTTGAGGCTTTCCCTCCTTATGGAGGGTGTCAGTGATGGTGTCAGGACAGCAGTCTTTCCCATGATTGTGATTCCTACTGAACCAGACTGAGAGACCATTGAAAGGCTCAGGAACCCTTTGCAGGTGTTATGGCTGAATGAGCTGATTAGAGTGGGACACTTTGAGCCGAGATTATTCCACCTTTTCACAATATTCTCATTTTCTGAGATTGTGGATTTGGGGTTTTCATGAGCTGTAAGCCATAATCATCACAATGATGACAAATCACGGCTGGAACTATCTTGCTTTGCATGGAATGAGTCTCATATATTAGTGTCACCTTTTAAGTTGCTGCACTGAAATCAATGAATGAATGAATGAATGCACCAGATTCTCATTTTTCGAGTTTCACCTGTATATATATGTGATTTTTCATGTCCGGATAGGGGGGTGCAACGCGTTGCCCTACCTGCGCCGCCATCGGTGGCTACAACTGTCAATAACTGGGTCCCGGTTGGAGATTCCCCGCCGGCACCCAGCGATCGCTGGGGAACACTGACAGGGGAGAGGTCTGTATACAAACAACACAGATCTTTCCTGTCAGCAAGGACATGCTGCTTTGTATCTCTACACAGCATGTCTCCCTAGTAACACAGCACACAGTTAACCCTTTGATCGCCCCAGATGTTAACCCCTTCCTGCCCGGTGTCATTAGTACAGTGTCAGGGCTTTTTTATTATCACTGATCACTGCATTGGTGTCACTGGGGATGTCAGTGGCAGTTAGTCTGTTCTCCCCCCCCCCCCAGTGTCAGAATGCCCGCCGCAGTCCCGCTATAAATTGCTGATCGTCACCATTACTAGTTTATAAAAAACAAAAAAACAATCCAGTCTCTATACCGCCATTTGTAGACGCGATAACTTTCACGTAATACGATTCATTTTTGGGATTTTAATTTTAGCGAAGACACAGAGCGGGATACATTTTGGCCTAAATTTATGAAGAAATATGATTTTTTTTTTTTTTTTTACTGGACGTGTTTAATAGCAAAAAGTCATAAATATTGGGGTTTTTTTTTTTTCAAAATCGTCTATTTTGGTTTATAGTGAAAAGAAATAAAAACCACAAAGGTGATCAAATACCACCAAAAGAAAGCGTCATTCGTGGGCAAACAAAAAAGGATGTAAAAAGGACGTAAATTTCATTTGGGTGCGGTGTTTGCGCGACCGCGCAATTGTCAGTGACGCAGCGCCGTATCGCAAAAAAATGGCCTGGCCAGCGGGGGGGGGGGGGGGGGGGGGGGGGTGGGAGAAAAATCACTGGAGGGGGGGAAAATCCTCTGGAGGGGTGGAAGGGGGGGGGTAAATCCTCTAAAGGGGGCGGGGCAAATCCTCTGGAGGGGGTGAAAGGGGGGAAAATCCTCTGAAGGAAGGGGGGGCAAATCCTCTGGAGGGGACGAAGGGGGGAGCAAATCCTCTGGAGGGGACGAAGGGGGGGGGGGGGGCAAATCCTCTGCAGGGGGGATGAAGGGGAGGGCAAATCCTCTGGAGGGGGTAAAGGGGGGGGGGGCAAATCCTCTGGAGGGGGTGAAAGGGAGGGCAAATCCTCTGAAGGGGGTGAAAGGGGGGGGCAAATCCTCTGGAGGGGTGAAGGGAGGGCAAATCCTCTGGAGGGGGTGAAGGGAGGGCAAATCCTCTGGAGGGGGTGAAGGGAGGGCAAATCCTCTGAAGGGGGGGGCAAATCCTCTGGAGGGGTTGAAGGGGGGGCAAATCCTCTGGAGGGGGTGAAGGGAGGGCAAATCCTCTGAAGGGGAGGGCAAATCCTCTGGAGGGGGTGAAGGGAGGGCAAATCCTCTGGAGGGGGTGAAGGGAGGGCAAATCCTCTGAAGGGGGGGGCAAATCCTCTGGAGGGGGGTTGAAGGGGGGGCAAATCCTCTGAAGCGGGTGAAGGGGGGTGGGGGCAAATCCTCTGAAGGGGTGAAGGGGGGGGGCAAATACTCTGGAGGGCGAGAGGGTTAAAGAGAGCTTGCTACTACCAGAATGCCTGTCCCAGATTCCTGCACCCACAAACCTCCTCTCCTAAAACGGGGTTCAGCAACAAAGGGTAAGAAGACTGCAGTTCCTGGAACCCAATTTACTTTTCTACCCACAATACACCAGGGCTTGGGATGGAGATGCCTGCCATGCTGCTTGGTGGTGGGGGGGGGGTGAAAGTCCACATCACTCCAGGAGGGGGCGTGCTACACAGATCTCATAGAACAAAGCAGGAATCAGGAGTACATCGAACAGACGATTGTATGCGATCGATCAGATCCCTCAACACACCACTCACCATAGTGCAACTTTACAATGAACGGATGGTTCACCCTCCACCAGAATATCGCGCTCCATCTTGGTCCGAACTCGGTCTCTGACTGGTCAGGGAGAAATTCAGAAAAAAAAAAAAAGGGATATTTTTAAGTTACTGCGACCACAAAAAATGCACAAAACACAATTCTAATGATGAGATTTTAATAAATTTTCTTTTTTTTTTTTTTAAATCCACCCCATGTCATTACCTGAGATCAGTCTTTTTACAATGAGCCGACAGCTGAAATCAGGCTTGCAGAGGGAATGTCTGCTCTGTAAGCGGATTGGCAGGAGGGGAGGTGCTTAGGTGGGTGTCGCCCGTTTCTGAATAAAGGTTTTGTGATAAAACGGGAAGAGCTCACCTTTCAGAGAAGCTTTCTTTAATACTTTCATTGCATAAAGTTGTCCGGCGTCGGGACCGATCGTTTTCCGCACGAGGAACACCTTCGGGGAGACAAAAAAGAGGTCATGTGATTTAAAGAGTTTCTAAGCCCTGGACCCGGCATTCACTATATCTGCCCCCCCCCCCCCCGGACCCCGCATTCACTATATCTGCCCCCCCCGGACCCCGCATTCACTATATCTGCCCCCCCCCCGACCCCGCATTCACTATATCTGCCCCCCTGGACCCCGCATTCACTATATCTGCCCCCCCGGACCCCGCATTTCACTATATCTGCCCCCCCCCGACCCCGCATTCACTATATCTGCCCCCCGGACCCCGCATTCACTATATCTGCCCCCCCGGACCCCCCTGCATTCACTATATCCACTCTCCCTGGACCCCGCATTCACTATATCCCCTCTCCCCGGACCCCGCATTCACTATATCCGCTCTCCCCGGACCCCGCATTCACTATATCCGCTCTCCCCGGACCCCGCATTCACTATATCCTCTCTCCCCGGACCCCGCATTCACTATATCCGCTCTCCCCGGACCCCGCATTCACTATATCCACTCTCCCCGGACCCCGCATTCACTATATCCCCTCCCCGGACCCCGCATTCACTATATCCGCTCTCCCCGGACCCCGCATTCACTATATCCCCTCTCCCCGGACCCCGCATTCACTATATCCGCTCTCCCCGGACCCCGCATTCACTATATCCTCTCTCCCCGGACCCCGCATTCACTATATCCGCTCTCCCCGGACCCCGCATTCACTATATCCGCTCTCCCCGGACCCCGCATTCACTATATCCCCTCTCCCCCCGGACCCCGCATTCACTATATCCGCTCTCCCCGGACCCCGCATTCACTATATCCCCTCTCCCCGGACCCCGCATTCACTATATCCGCTCTCCCCGGACCCCCGCATTCACTATATCCGCTCTCCCCGGACCCCGCATTCACTATATCCGCTCTCCCCGGACCCCGCATTCACTATATCTGCCCCCCCTGACCCCGCATTCACTATATCTGCCCCCCCGGACCCCGCATTCACTATATCCGCTCTCCCCGGACCCCCGCATTCACTATATCCGCTCTCCCCGGACCCCGCATTCACTATATCCCCTCTCCCGGACCCCGCATTCACTATATCCGCTCTCCCCCCGGACCCCGCATTCACTATATCCGCTCTCCCCGGACCCCGCATTCACTATATCCGCTCTCCCCGGACCCTGCATTCACTATATCCCCCCCGGACCCCGCAGGCTCTATATCCCCCTCCCGGAACCGCATTCACTATATCTGCCCCCCCGGACCCCGCATTCACTATATCTGCCCCCCCGGACCCCGCATTCACTATATCCGCTCTCCCCCGGACCCCGCATTCACTATATCCGCTCTCCCCGGACCCCGCATTCACTATATCCGCTCTCCCGGACCCGCATTCACTATATCCGCTCTCCCCGGACCCCGCATTCACTATATCCGCTCTCCCCGGACCCTGCATTCACTATATCTGCCCCCCCGACCCCGCATTCACTATATCTGCCCCCCCGGACCCCGCATTCACTATATCTGCCCCCCCGGACCCCGCATTCACTATTCTCCGCTCTCCCCGGACCCCGCATTCACTATATCCGCTCTCCCCGGGACCCCGCATTCACTATATTCCGCTCTCCCCGACCCCGCATTCACTATATCTGCCCCCCAGACCCCGCATTCACTATATCTGCCCCCCCGGACCCCGCATTCACTATATCTGCCCCCCCGGACCCCGCACTCACTATATCTGCCCCCCCGACCCCGCATTCACTATATCTACCCCCTCGACCCCCCCAGCATTCACTATATCTACCCCCCCCGACCCCCCCGCATTCACTATATCTGCCCCCCCGGACCCCCCCGCATTCACTATATCCGCTCTCGACAACAGACGCACGCACACACTCTGTATGTTGAAATTAGTTTTTTATATATTACAAAATATATGAAAAACAGTTTTTAAAACGACATCTTCAAAATACTGTATGTGTTTAATCACCTCCCGCCCTCCATATAGTACAATGACGGGCGCGAGGCGGTTCTTTCGTGCTGGGAGGAGTCATATGACGTCGTCCAATTCTAAATGCGCATGCATGGCTCTGGGAGCACACAGCGCGGCGATCAGTGGTGTGCTGTGTCTCTCTCGGACACAGCGGATCACAGATCGACGGAAAGAGTCGAAGATGTCGGCTCGGTCATGTGATCAGCTGTGTCCAATCACATGTAAACAGAGAAATGCCGGTTATCGGCATTTCTCTCCTCTCGAGCCGTCACGCTGACAGAGGAGCGGAGAGCCGGTGATCGGCATTCCTCAGAGGGGACCTGTACACTGATGATCAGTGTAGCTCCAGCATTGCCACCTGTCAGTGTCCATCTGAGCTGCCTTTCAGTGTCACCTATCAGTGCCGGTCAGTGCCACCTATCAGTGCTGCCAATCAGTGCCACCTATCAGTGCCAGTCAGTGCCGCCTATCAGTGTGCATCAGTGCCGCCTATCAGTGCCGGTCAGTGCCACCTATCAGTGCTGCCAATCAGTGCCACCTATCAGTGCCAGTCAGTGCCGCCTATCAGTGTGCATCAGTGCCGCCTATCAGTGCCCGTCAGTGCTGCCTATCAGTGCCTCCTAACAGCGCCAGTCAGTGCCACCTAACAGTGCTGGTCAGTGCCGCCTATCAGTGCCATATGAGTGTTGCCTTTCAGTGCCCATCAGTGATGCCTGTCAATGCTCATCAATGCCACCTTCCAGTGCCTCCTCATCAGTGCCCATCAGTGCCCATCAGTGCCACCTATCAGTGCCCATCAGTGCAGCCTATCAGTGCCCATCACTGCAGCCTCATTAGCGCACATCAGTGAAGGAGAAAAGTCCCTTATTTACAAAATTTTATAACAAAAACTAAAAAAAAACGTTTTTTGTTTTTTTTTCAAAATTTTCAGTGGTTTTTGGTTTGTTTAAGAAAAAATAAAAACCCCCGAGGTGATTAAATACCACCAAAATAAAGCTCTATCTGTCTCAAAAAAATGATAAAAATGTCATATGGGTCCAGTGTTGCATGACCGCCGCGCAATTGTCATTCAAAGTGTAACAGCGCTGAAAGCTGAAAATTGGCCTGGGGGGAAGGGGGTAGAAGTGTCCTGTAGGCAGGAAGGGGGTAGAAGTGTCCTGTAGGCAGGAAGGGGGTAGAAGTGCCCGGTAGGCAGGAAGGGGGTAGAAGTGCCCTGTAGGCAGGGAGGGGGTAGAAGTGTCCTGTAGGCAGGAAGGGGGTAGAAGTGTCCTGTAGGCAGGAAGGGGGTAGAAGTGTCCTGTAGGCAGGGAGGGGGTAGAAGTGCCCTGTAGGCAGGGAGGGGGTAGAAGTGTCCTGTAGGCAGGAAGGGGGTAGAAGTGTCCTGTAGGCAGGAAGGGGTAGAAGTGTGTCTGTAGGCAGGAAGGGGGTAGAAGTGCCCGGTAGGCAGGAAGTGGGTAGAAGTGCCCGGTAGGCAGGAAGGGGGTAGAAGTGCCCGGTAGGCAGGAAGGGGTAGAAGTGCCCGGTAGGCAGGAAGGGGGTAGAAGTGCCCTGTAGGCAGGAAGGGGGGTAGAAGTGCCCTGTAGGCAGGAAGGGGGTAGAAGTGTCCGGTAGGCAGGAAGGGGGTAGAAGTGTCCGGTAGGCAGGAAGGGGGTAGAAGTGTCCTGTAGGCAGGAAGGGGGTAGAAGTGTCCTGTAGGCAGGAAGGGGGTAGAAGTGTCCTGTAGGCAGGAAGGGGGTAGAAGTGCCCGGTAGGCAGGAAGGGGGTAGAAGTGCCCAGTAGGCAGGAAGGGGGTAGAAGTGCCCAGTAGGCAGGAAGGGGGTAGAAGTGCCCTGTAGGCAGGGAAGGGGGTAGAAGTGCCCGGTAGGCAGGAAGGGGGTAGAAGTGCCCGGTAGGCAGGAAGGGGGTTGAAGTGCCCGGTGGGCAGGAAGGGGGTTGAAGTGCCCGGTGGGCAGGAAGGGGGAAGTGCCGGCTGTAGAAGTGTCCTGTAGGCAGGAAGGGGGTAGAAGTGCCCTGTAGGCAGGAAGGGGGTAGAAGTGTCCTGTAGGCAGGAAGGGGGTAGAAGTGCCCGGTAGGCAGGAAGGGGGTAGAAGTGTCCTGTAGGCAGGAAGGGGGTAGAAGTGCCCGGTAGGCAGGAAGGGGGTAGAAGTGTGCCCGGTAGGCAGGAAGGGGGTAGAAGTGCCCGGTAGGCAGGAAGGGGGTAGAAGTGCCCGGTAGGCAGGAAGGGGGTAGAAGTGTCCTGTAGGCAGGAAGGGGGTAGAAGTGCCCGGTAGGCAGGAAGGGGGTAGAAGTGCCCGGTAGGCAGGAAGGGGGTAGAAGTGCCCGGTAGGCAGGAAGGGGGTAGAAGTGTCCTGTAGACAGGAAGGGGGTAGAAGTGCCCGGTAGGCAGGAAGGGGGTAGAAGTGTCCGGTAGGCAGGAGGGGGTAGAAGTGTCCGGTAGGCAGGAAGGGGGTAGAAGTGCCCGGTAGGCAGGAAGGGGGTAGAAGTGCCGGTAGGCAGGAAGGGGGTAGAAGTGCCCGGTAGGCAGGAAGGGGGTAGAAGTGTCCTGTAGACAGGAAGGGGGTAGAAGTGCCCGGTAGGCAGGAAGGGGGTAGAAGTGCCCGGTAGGCAGGAAGGGGGTAGAAGTGTCCTGTAGGCAGGAAGGGGGTAGAAGTGCCCGGTAGGCAGGAAGGGGGTAGAAGTGTCCGGTAGGCAGGAAGGGGGTAGAAGTGTCCTGTAGGCAGGAAGGGGGTAGAAGTGCCCGGTAGGCAGGAAGGGGGTAGAAGTGTCCTGTAGGCAGGAAGGGGGTAGAAGTGCCCTGTAGGCAGGAAGGGGGTAGAAGTGCCCTGTAGGCAGGAAGGGGGGGTAGAAGTGCCCTGTAGGCAGGAAGGGGGTAGAAGTGCCCGGTAGGCAGGAAGGGGGTAGAAGTGTCTGGTAGGCAGGAAGGGGGTAGAAGTGTCCGGTAGGCAGGAAGGGGGTAGAAGTGTCCTGTAGGCAGGAAGGGGGTAGAAGTGCCCGGTAGGCAGGAAGGGGGTAGAAGTGCCCAGTAAGCTAGTGGTTAAAAATCCATTTAATCTACATTTTTTGGAACGCATTTACAAATTTATGTAAAAATATGTGTTAAAATTACTTTTTTATATGTTAAAAAAATCTGAAGAATATATTTAAAAAATGATACATGTTTAAAAATATTTTTCATATATTTTTGTAAAAGCTAAAAAACGCATTTCAACATACAGTTGAATACGGCCAAAATTGTAGTATTTCAAATATATGTCAATATATTTGGGAAGAATATTTTTAAAATATATTTTTCTTCCATGTGGGTACAAAGCAGCGTGCTGGTGCTGACCGGGGAGAGATCTGTATTGTTGACATACAGACCTCTCCCCTGTCAGTGTTCCTTGGTGATCGCTGGGTGCCGGTGGGGAATCTCCAGTCGGGACCCGGTGATCGACAGCTGTAGCCAAACATGTCAGCGCGCACACACGCATGCGCCCCTACCCAGAAATACAAAATCACATACATATATATATACACACAGGTGACACTAATATATGAGACTCATTCCATGCAAAGCAAGATAGTTCCAGCCGTGATTTGTCATCATTGTGATGATTATGGCTTACAGCTCATGAAAACCCCAAATCCACAATCTCAGAAAATGAGAATATTGTGAAAAGGTGGAATAATCTCGGCTCAAAGTGTCCCCACTCTAATCAGCTCATTCAGCCATAACAACACCTGCAAAGGGTTCCTGAACCTTTCAATGGTCTCTCAGTCTGGTTCAGTAGGAATCACAATCATGGGAAAGACTGCTGACCTGACACCATCACTGACACCCTCCATAAGGAGGGAAAGCCTCAAAAGGGAATTGCAGAAGAAGTTGGATGTTCCCAAAGTGCTGTATCAAAGCACATTAATAGAAAGTTATGTGGAAGGGAAAAGTGTGGAAGAAAAAGGTGCACAAGCAGCAGGGATGACCGCAGCAGCCTGGAGAGGATTGTCAGGAAAAGGCCATTCAAAAGTGTTGGGGACTTTCACAAGGAGTGGACTGAGGCTGGAGTCAGTGCATCAAGAGCCACCACACACAGAACGGATCCTGGACATGGGCTTCAAATGTCGTATTCCTCTTGTCAAGCCGTTCCTGAACAACAAACAACGTCAGAAGCGTCTTACCTGGGCTAAAGAAAAACAGACCTGGTCTGGTGCTCAGTGGTCCAAAGTCCTCTTTTCTGATGAGGCACAAGGACCCCGAGTATGGAGGAAGAATGGAGAGGCACAAGGACCCCGAGTATGGAGGAAGAATGGAGAGGCCCAAGGACCCCGAGTATGGAGGAAGAATGGAGAGGCCCAAGGACCCCCGAGTATGGAGGAAGAATGGAGAGGCACAAGGACCCCGAGTATGGAGGAAGATTGGAGAGGCACAAGGACCTCGAGTATGGAGGAAGAAGATGGAGGGGCCCAAGGACCCCGAGTATGGAGGAAGAATGGAGAGGCCCAAGGACCCCGAGTATGGAGGAAGAATGGAGAGGCCCAAGGACCCCGAGTATGGAGGAAGAATGGAGAGGCCCAAGGACCCCGAGTATGGAGGAAGAATGGAGAGGCCCAAGGACCCCGAGAATGGAGGAAGAATGGAGAGGCACAAGGACCCCGAGTATGGAGGAAGAATGGAGAGGCCCAAGGACCCCGAGTATGGAGGAAGAATGGAGAGGACCCAAGGAGGAAGAATGGAGAGGCCCAGTATATGGAGGAGGAAGAAGGACCCCGAGTGGAGAGGCCCAAGGGCCCCGAGTATGGAGGAAGAATGGAGAGGCCCAAGGACCCCGAGTATGGAGGAAGAATGGAGAGGCACAAGGACCCCGAGTATGGAGGAAGAATGGAGAGGCACAAGGACCCCGAGTATGGAGGAAGAATGGAGAGGCACAAGGACCCCGAGTATGGAGGAAGAATGGAGAGGCCCAAGGGCCCCGAGTATGGAGGAAGAATGGAGAGGCCCAAGGGCCCCGAGTATGGAGGAAGAATGGAGAGGCCCAAGGGCCCCGAGTATGGAGGAAGAATGGAGAGGCACAAGGACCCCGAGTATGGAGGAAGAATGGAGAGGCACAAGGAGCCCGAGAGTATGGAGGAAGAATGGAGAGGCACAAGGACCCCGAGTATGGAGGAAGAATGGAGAGGCCCAAGGACCCCGAGTATGGAGGAAGAATGGAGAGGCCCAAGGACCCCGAGAATGGAGGAAGAATGGAGAGGCCAAGGACCCCGAGTATGGAGGAAGAATGGAGAGGCCAAGGACCCCGAGTATGGAGGAAGAATGGAGAGGCCCCAAGGACCCCGAGTATGGAGGAAGAATGGAGAGGCCCAAGGACCCCGAGTATGGAGGAAGAATGGAGAGGCCCAAGGACCCCGAGTATGGAGGAAGTATGGAGAGGCCCAAGGACCCCGAGTATGGAGGAAGTATGGAGAGGCCCAAGGGCCCCGAGGAAGAAGAATGGAGAGGCAGGAAGAATGGAGAGGCACAAGGACCCCGAGTATGGAGGAAGAATGGAGAGGCACAAGGACCCCGAGTATGGAGGAAGAATGGAGAGGCACAAGGGCCCCAACTATGGAGGAAGAATGGAGAGGCCCAAGGACCCCGA